ATGATTCCAGCACAATGCAGGCGGGTTACCGCCATCAACCAGGTGGGTGCATGCTGGTGCGCCATAGTGGCCCGGGCACCTCCCATGGTGTTCGTCGCTCTCTTTTATTGCACAGTATGCTAATGTCATGTTTTTTTTTTTTCACGGGAGACATCTCCCGTCACGCAGGGTGCAGTCGCACCTCCACAGATCTCCAGTATCACCTCTCGATACTGGTAATGGCTCCAAAGAGCCACCACTTACGGGCTACTCATGCCCGTGCCACCTTTTGGGTGGCTTAATCTTCATCAATCAATGTCATGTTCACTTGGTAAAGTTTTGTTATTGTGGGGGAATAGCGAATGTGAAATCATTTTTAGCTTAATAAAAAAAGTGTTAGGTGATTTAAAGTAAAGGAATGATATTGTGAATGAAACTATGCACCCTGTCCTCAGGCTAGGCTATATATTAATATATATATATATATATATATATATATATATATATATATATATATATATATATATATATATATATATATATATATATATATATATATATATATATATATATATATATATATATATATATATATATATATATATATATATATATATATATATATATATATATATATATATATATATATATACAGTATATATAAAACAAGGATGAGCGTAAGAAACGCGCGCACTTTAAAAATATATATATATATATATATATATATATATATATATATATATATATATATATATATATATATATATATATATATATATATATATATATATATACAGTATATATAAAACAAGGATGAGCGTAAGAAACGCGCGCACTTTAAAATGTAAACAAGCACTTGTGTGTGACCTTCATACAGACAAAAGAGGCAACAATATTCTTAAGTGTTGCTTATTCCTCCCTATTTTCTTTTTATGCTGCTTGGATAAAAGTATTTTTTTATCTTTGAACTCTAATTGCTTCTTCTGCAAGAATTAAATTAATTATATATATCACGAATAGCGTTTGTTTCATGGGCATTAAGTTTGGTCTTCGAGATCAAAATTAGGAACTATTGCCAGGTCTACATAACCTAGCTAACTTATTTATTTATTTATTTATTTATATCAAGAAGGTACATTGGGTTTGAGAGAGTACATAACAAGTTCAAGTTCAAGTATGTTTATTGAGACAAAAGAAATTCATCTCAAAGGGATAGAGTAGCTTAGGCTATTTCTACCCCCTTCCCCCCCTGAGTACATAACATTGGTGTTCTAACATTCTTGCAAAGCCATTTCGTTGCTGGGCATATCGCTCAGATAGGTGTGGAACATCAATATCATCCCTTTACTTTAAATCATTATTATATTGTGCTGTAAGAATGATTATAATAGCCTCACGTGCTGTGACAATTGTCCGATCACACAGGGAACTTGGATTATCTATTATATAAGCAAATTATTTAATAAAGGCTATAATGATGTGTTGTACAATATTATCATAGTGACGAGAGCTTTGTTTCCCCTATATGTTGCAGATCTGATATACATTTTTTATTAACAATCTTAGGTATACACAGCAATGTGCTGCTACCCTATTATATATGAAGAATTAGTGTGGATCAGAAACTAGCTATGAGTTAATTTAGTCTCCCCAACTCACAGAATGATTAGTCATACATGGGATCAGGAGAGAGCATGAAATGCTCTAATCAGCCTGCACTTGTAAACTCTAGGTAGAGCACAATAATATCTTCCAATATTCGTGAGTGTATGAAGTAGTTACAGAGTTCAAAGTACCGCCTACCATTTGGTCTGAATTAATTGATCATAGGGCAATCGCAGATATAGTGTTGGAGAGTATGTCCTAGCTCTTGTTCACATAGTTTACAATTGGAATGTTCACCATTCCAATTGTAAAACATGTCTAGTAGATGTTTTATGCTGTCCGTACATATAGTTCTCGGTTCTAAACATATTATAACTCATTATACTCGTGCTTTTTGCCCTTCAAGTGACAGTGACTGCTCTTCTGCCATCCCCAATTTCTTGGGACATTGTTATTTTTACAGCAGAGATTGGAATCCCTAGATCTAACTTAATTTCAAGCTTATCACATCTAGCTCCCTTGTTCGTGTATGAGATGGCATTCATACAAATGAGACTAAACCTCATGCTCCTTGAATCAATGATATTTATAATGGACTTGCAACATTCTTAGTATCTATTTCGCATCTTTTATTTTCAAATGCTTCAATAGCTGACTTTGAATTACAAAACATTACTCCTCCATTGTTCTTCAGTGAGTTAATGGCAAGTTCTAGTGTAGCTAATTCTGCATGTGTACTTACCTAGTTGTGCTTGCGGGGGTTGAGCTTTGGGTCTTTGAGCCTATCGCGACTGTCAATCAACTGGTGTACAGATTTTCGAGCCTTAAGGATTAATTCTCGAGGATTAAGGACCTGCCCGAAACGCTATGCGTGTTAGTGGCTTTACAAGACTGTAAGAACTCTTTTTATATATAAATAAGATTGGCAACACTTCTACTCAACCAGTTTGCCCGCTGGTGCGTTGGTAACACTTTCCCGCCTATAAACAACACCAATTAATAGCCTGAGTGATGCTGGATCTCTCATCACCTTTACACAGAAATGTAAGATCTGTGATTAAAACGTGTGAGTAGTGAACTTGTGACAACTGATTAAGGATTTGTATATATTAAGTTGGCGGGGAAGTCTGTGTTAGTTAGAGGGACTTTTGAAGTTGGCGCGGGAGACGGTTTAATGCATCCATAATAAATAATAATAATAATCATTCATTGTGTTAGGGAACAGGCAGCCAGAATGTATTCATACATGTTAGGCTTATATTGAGGTCCCCCCCCTCCAAGGCCGAATTACTGACCCCGTTCAAGATGCCACTCCACAACAAGCTAATTCTTGAGTACCTACTTACTGCTAGGTGAACAGAGGCATTAGGTGTTAGGAAACTCACTCAACCATTTCTGTCTCGCCCGGGATTTGAACCCGGAATTCTCGATTGGTAGTCGAGAACGAAGCCGACTGCACTACCGGGACCCTTTATAAACTGAAAAGGATTCTGCAAATTTTATCTTTCCAATGAATTTGTATGACAGTATTGTATGTGCATACTAAAGTTATATAAATATACATATATATTATATAAATAAAAGTTTTTTTATTATATATAAATGTATATATATATTTATAAATAAATAATTATATATAAATATATATATATATATATATATATATATATATATATATATATATATATATATATATATATATATATATATATATATATATATATATTTAATGTTGTTGATAAATAAAATTAGATGTGCAGTAGCTAGGCCTACGAACGTGTGTACTGTAGAGGCGGGACATTTGAAGTTGACAAATAGGTCGCTAGCCGTAAAGCTTAACAAGGTAGGGAAGTTGGCCTTGGTAGAGGGATGCTCGAAACTGAAACAGTACAGACAAATATACATAATAGTCTTTACTTGCAAGACACATTGGAACACACACATAAGTTACAACTGATGTCCAATATATATATATATATATATATATATATATATATATATATATATATATATATATATATATATATATATATATATATATATATATATGCATTTTGATAAGATGCATTTTGAAAAGTCTCGGGTCGAGGATACACACATTAGCATCTGTTATGTCTCAAAGCTAATACAACACCGTTCTACACGGGTGTTGTATACTTGGTGTAGTTTAGGGAGGTGTAGTTAGTTTGGTGGTGGACGTAAGACCTATCAATCTCTCAATCTCTGGAGTGTTAATTATTAAGACCGTATAAGAGCTTAGTGACCATTAAGCAAATATACTTTAGTTCCGAACATGAGTCCGGACTTAAGTAAACTCAGTGTATATAGACCAGCAAGAGGACGCTACTGAGTGTATACGAGCCGTGTGCTACATGAATGGTTGACACAACCCACACATCTAAAAATTAAAGAATTGAGAACGTTTGGGGTCCCTCTTGGACCAGTATAAAATCGTGTAAAGATAATGGTCCTGGATGGTCCGAAACGTCGTTAATTGTTATATTTTGAGATTTGTGGGTTGGGTGTCTAGTTTTCAGCCACGTGATTGTGACTTATTGGTTGTTTATGGTCGATTACTGTATTTCATAACTATACGAGACCTGACCTTAATATATAAAGAAACGACTCGCGGTGGAAGAAAAAATATCAAAACAATATAGCTTGTGAACTCTCAACACTACTCTCCTGCAGTATGCATCACCCAATCTCTGATGATCCCCACTATTACAACTATTACAAACACACCAACCCATACACTTTTTGTATTTCCCTAATACAGTTCAGTGGTCACTGACTTAATCTTCTTCTTCCGTAACTCTCGGAATGACCTTCGTGCTTAATAACAAGCAGGGCGCTTTGGTCCAATGACCTGCCATGGGTCGGTGACCATGACGGGCAAGAAGTGAGAATGTATGGTGGAGGGGAAGGTTTGAATATGGCGGGCATGGAGGGGGGCCGGGTCGTCTGCTGGCATCGATCCCCCGGCCGTCCCTGCAACACTCCTCGCCCGCCCCGACACCTCGCAACCTTCCACCACAATTTCTTAACATTTGGATTGAAAGGTGAGAGTGGTCAACCCGGGGTCCGTGTCTCCTAACCGGTTTCCCCTCACTAGGGCCCCTGGGTTCCCCTTGGAGATGTGTCGATGGGGGTGATCTGGCGGACCCAGTAGGGAGACTGGTGGCTATAATGGACGTATATGGTGGATTATGCAGGCCAGTGGAATACGAAACATTAAAATACGAACGTTTTTCAGGGGGAAAGGTAGTGTGTGGCAGCTCAGCTGGGCTCCGCGTAGCTGTTGAGAAGAGATGGCAACTTCAGGTGGTGTTAGGGCCTGTGTGGGGCTCCTGCAGCTCTCCAGGCTACCTGCAGGTGCCAGGGTCAGGTGAGAAGGCACGACCCGAGGTACTGTGTCACCCACGACCCCACCACAGGTCACTTACTGGGGTCATCACCCATGTAAATAAGATAAATGAGTGAGCCGTCACGACTCCAGTCAGCTGATTCACCACCTGACTGGTGTATTGGGGTGTGTTGACGGGTCACCAGGTGTCTTAAGACTTGACCAAGTAGCCCGCTGGTCAGTGCACTCGGGTTACAATCACAAGGGCCCGGGTTCGACCCCTGAGGTGGGACAGACGGTTGGGCAAGTTTTCTTTCACCTGATGGCTCTGTTCACCTTGCAGTAAATATGTGCATGGAAGTTAACAGTAGTGGGTTGCAGCCATGGAAAGGTCAGTCACTTGCTTAGAATGACTTCGATAAGTTAAACAGACTTCTTGGCACTAACAATGGGAATGATAACTGAATTTATTACGAGTTGTGAATGAATTTGTTCTGTGCTTTTTTTGGAAAGTGGACCATATTGGAACATATTGCATTCTTGGCAGCATTTTTATAATCGTTTGAATAACGAAACCTGAACATATGATTATGGTTGAGGATATGTTGTAAGCACGGCAGTAGCATACTCCGCTACCTCGATACAGTATATGTTTCGAAGATGTCATTAACATTGTACAGGTAGGACAGAGACACCTTTTCTTACTCTGCATCCAAGAAACACATTGTGCTGGTCTTTTATTTAAATAGCACAGCATTTTAAAACTGTTCTGATGAAAAGGCACTGCTTCCTTCCATAATGGCTTGCTTTCCAAAAACTAAATAAGTTATTAAACTTCCTTTTGTGTAATTCTTTATAGATATTTCATGTACATTCTGTTTATATGGCCACAGAAGTGTGATATAATAATAATAATATAAAAAAAACACATTTGGTGTTGAGGCATTTGGCTGGTCAATCATTATTAGGCTCATCAATGTCCTAGGCTAATGATCGACTTTTTCCAGGAAGGAGCTCTCAATAGCTGCCTACCTTCTTGGTACCTATTTACTACTAGGTGAACAGAGGAATTGAGTACAGTATAAGGAAAGAAGCTCGGATACTTCTGCTCTGTCACGGGATTGAGCCCGAGATTTTTTTAGCTGTGATTCAACTGCACTGACCACTGAGTCACAGGACCTGCATCATTCTTTGGTGAAATTTTTGTTGCGGCATGCCAGACTGCCAGTGTGTGATATTGGTTCACTTTCCAGAAAAAGCACAGAAGAAATTCATTCACAACTCATAATAAATTCAGTTATGCCAAATCATATATGTTTATAGGTTACTGTAAAACATTTTTGTTTTGTACAATTCGGTATTTAATATTTTTATAATTTGTACAGTGTTGTTCATTATAGCCCTTAGTGTGTTATATATATTGTACTGTACTTAAATCATATTCAGTGTGGTCTCAGGTTAATCTTTTTATTCACTCATTCACTATGTTGAGGCAGCAATACTTTTTATTTTGATAAACAAATTTAAGTGAAAGAATACATACGCATTCCTTGAACCTCATCGGTGTAAACCTGGGCTCTAGGAGACTCGAACTGTGGACTGCACACGTGTAAGGCCGAAGCTTTAGCAACATCATCAGAACTCTATTTCTCATCAGTGTATCTGCAACCATTTGGTCATGTATCATATTTGAAATTGAGTAGCCAGTTCATCCTTCGGGCATTTATTGTATTTTTCATATGCAGTACAGTATTCCATATTGATGTTTCAGAACACTACAATCATGGTCTGCAGCATCATATTCATACAAGAAGACACAGATTTTGAGACCGTATTCTTCGACAGCGACAGACTCATTGGTGGCATCAGCGGAAAATGCGAACACCACTTCAGGCCTAATCTTAAGTGATGCATGCGTAGCCAGGTTGAAGGAAATTTTAGATGATGAGAAGGCCTTTCTGAGGGTAATTGTGGAAGGTGGAGGCTGTTCAGGATTCCAATACAAGTTCGATTTAGACACAGAAATTACAGAAAATGACAAGTAAGATTTGAAATTGTCTTATTTCCAATGCATGTATTCTGAGTCTAATCTGTCTTAGTGTTTCGGAGATCATAACCTCTTCTCTGGCCAGACATCTGAGGTTCGGGAATACTAACAGGTGTTATGTATTCAGGTAAGGTTGTTTGCAAGTTGAATATACAATTGAAATAACATTTTTGTATATGAATTAAAAGAAATTTATCATTAAACTAGTACAACAGATGTAGTGAGATATTGTACCTGTATTAGCCAAAAAATGTTGAGGCAAAATTTTATCACTGCCCTAGAGTGGCCATCTTGGTGACATTGGTTACTCCAGTGGTATGGTGCCCTTTTTAATGTTTCAATGGTATAAATGTGTATACAGTACTATTGTTTTCCATTTTCATCTACATTATAATTCAATGTCAGTTTATAGATGATGATGAAGTCATCTCCTGAGGCCCTCAGAACTGTAGGATAAATTCACTGGTCTCAGGACTTGGGTATTGAAGTTCTAGGAGGACTAAATAAAAAGTTATATTAAGTTTATTACAAAATTTATAGTATGAATCAATAGATGTTTTATAGTCATATCGGAATGAAGGCTGTACGGTATAGGCAATACTTGGACATAAAAAAGTGGCAGTATCCAAAGATTCATCACAAAACCAGGTGTCTGTACACCCCTAAAGCCTGTTTATAGACAGTGGGATATATAACTCATTTGTAAGAAAATTTTGCCATTATAACCATGTACATTATGGAGTTTAGTCTAACTACCTTCATTTTTATGTTATGTTATTAGTCAACACTCCAAGAATAGCAGACCTGGTTTCCAAAAGTTCAGCTCTATATGTACTTGACGACTAATATTCGAGGGTGTCAAAGACATGTGTCAGATATCCTAATGATTAGCAGCTTGTTTCTCTGAACCCAGGGTGAACTGGGCTTCCCCCAGGTGGATGTCAGTCTCACTCATTTGCCTCGTTACCTCTGGTACTTAATTGCTCTTATGCTATATTATTCCCAGTTTTGAGTTGATCTCTGATCCATAAGCCATAAGCTCCCCTTGCTTCATAAAGAGAGAGAGAGAGAGATTTTGGTCCTGGCTTCTGGTAGACAAGGGTGGGTTTCATAGACTTGGTATAGCTTCCTAAGGAACTCTATGGACCTGTCCTGTTTCTTCCCCTTTTTGATCTAGGCTGGATGTAATACCAGGCCAGGAAAGATGAGTGGGCACTTGTTGGAGCAATTGATAGACCTGCTCCCACCTGGTGGCAGTGGGGGAAGTTAGTACGATCATTGTTCAGCAGTTATAAGTTTTGTTTTGGTAGTTCAAAAACATCCCAGAGTATTTTTTGTAGGAAGGCTGTGTGTTTTCAGGTATCTTTTTCATTTAATTAGGGTCAGTTGACAAAGTATTAGGTTGATCTTTCATTTCCACAAGCTCCCCACCTCATAGTGGAGACAAGGAGCATCTAAACGTTCTTGTTTCTACATATCGGGCATTGTCGATGTCTAACCAGTAATGGCCAATGTGTAAGCTACAGGAGCTACTGAGGTGAACCCAGAGGAGGTTTTTTTTTGTTACACTTGACACTTATTTCTTAGCACATTATATCTGTAAACTTTAATTTTACTTATTAATGGGGGATACAGATCAAATTCCTTTTGCACATTGAATGTTAAGATATTGTTGTAATTTTTTTTATTTTTTATTATGTGTAAGCACACAATAGTGTGTGTGTGTTAGGCTGCCCTTACTGCCATTGCCCTACATAAAGTAAAACTGCAAACACAATACTTTATATTAGAGCAGCTACTCTTAAAGTAAAGTGTGCTTAGGATGCTGTGATATATTCATTTATTTTTGCTGTATAGAAAGGGCAGCAGGGGAGCTGTTGTTGGGTAACTGACGGTTGTGTTAAAGGGGAACTTCTGCTCTGAATAATATAAGTTATATTTAAATTGGGGCACATTGTATTTGCCCTTTTCCTTCCTTTCAAAATGTAAACTCTGTCTCAAACTCTCTCTTGACCTGACACCAATTAATTATTGATTATATTTTAAGCAAAATGAGATTAAATTCGAGTCATTAATCAGGTGGCTTGCAGTTGGTAAAATGGATTAAGTTTTTAATACACCTTTAAAAAAGGAGTATGTATTAAGAATGCTTTCAAATATTTAAATGTTTGGGTGTGAACTAGTTTGCTATCTGTATACATTACTTAGGGTCTTGGGCAGTTTATCAAATCAAGGCAATTCTGCCCCAAGAGGCCCACATGAGCCAATTGGGAAATGGGACTAGAGTTCCTTAAAAGATGAGGGGATCCTAGGATATGAAATGACAATTGCATGCCCAACGAAATGGCAGACTTTATGTACAGTTCCATTATGTCTGAGCATTCACAGGCCTGGTCCCTGGCATAGGGACCAGGGTGGGATGATTTAGCACTGTTCCTTCACTGTTCACCCTTCTACACCCAGCAGTAATATGATTATCAAATCATATTCTGTGGAAAAAATGGAGCTGAATGAACTCAAATGGTTCAAAGATCTTGGCTAAATCATAAACAAAATTTATATTTAAATTGATTATTCATTTCCATTACATCCTCTGAAATTATAGTAATTAATGATACTTTCTACCATATATTTGCTATAAGTACAGTACAGGTACTTTCATTTTAGGAGGATGGGCTGTTCATTCCTAATGATATAACTAAATAATAGATTTATTATTTTCATAGTCTGTTTATATTTTTAATACCATTGCAGTCTACTATAAATTGCATTTGGTATATAGTATTTTTTCTTTCTCACTTAGGGTGTTTGAACGAGATGGGAAGCGTGTGGTCATTGATGAAATTTCTCTAGACTTTGTGAGAGGTTCAACTATTGATTACCACACAGAGCTAATACGTGCAGCATTTAGAATTTCAAACAATCCTCAGGCGGAATCTGGCTGTTCGTGTGGTGCCTCATTTTCCATCAAGCTTTAAATGAGAAGCTTACATTTACAAGCTTAATACAATATCTAGGTACAAGGTACAGTATTTGGTGAAAGAAAAATATGATTTTCTGGCAGCCTTGTTTATAATCATTTTTGTTGCCAACTAGATAATATTTATAAGAGGTCAAGATGATTTTCTATCAACGTGAATTGATGTTAAACAAAAATGTTTATATTGCTTCTCATTTTCATGGTGTACAAAGACCTCGGCCTGATGAAAAGGAAATATTAACCACGCATTGCACACGCTTACACTTCAGAAAAATTTAAATTTTCGGTATCACACTTCAGAAAAATTTAAATTTTCGGTAAGGAATTTTCACTATACAGTACAGTACAATAGAATTTAGACTATTTAAAACCTTGAGTTTTTGTCTAGATTCATTTGAGACTGCAAAATATTTTGCAGATCTATACATAACTCAGTCATTTATTCCAATCTTCAGTACTATAGTACTATACTAGCACACTGATTGGGAAGATATTACACCCACTTTTATTGTTCTAATCTCGCTAAAGCTGTACAATTGTTTAAAGTGTTCAGTATTTTTTTTGTTTTTATTCACTATATCACAAGATGATTAAACAAATTTCTGTTTATATCTTTCAACATTTTTGGGTTTTGTTGTAGAATTTTTGTCTCTAGAATGAATTTATACTTACAACTTTGTTGACATTTGGTAAACAATACTAGGTAGTTTTCCGGTAATGATTCTGTATCATGGATTACAGCAATATTTTGTATTTTTTTTTTTTTAAAGCATTTTACCCTCTTAAATGGCACTTAATTCCCAGAAATTACTAAATAGAAAGTTTTACCTCTTGTAAGACACTATATTGATATAAGGAATTTTCCCCATTTTCTGGGAGGGACTCCTAGACTTTGATGCCACTTAGCATTACCCTTCCTAGCCACCAGACCTTGAGACCCTATATCTCTTACCTGGAAGCCAGGTCCAGAATTGGGCTCTTTCCACAGGTCACAGAGCAAGATTTATAAAGTGTTTGTGGGAGGTATTAAAAGAAAAAATAGTTTTGTATGAGAATTTTGTTGTATTGCACTGTACATATTTTGTTGTAAATACCATATTTTATTAAACATATTTTTTTTTATACAGCATTGTTTATTCTTTCCTTTTTATTCATAATATCTCAGGTTCAATGTAGCTTGAATTTGTTAAATATAGTTAAAGGCTTTTAACATCTTCATTTAGCCCATTGCAAGTTCATATGGGTTGTATATTTGACCTCTATCACTGTCAACATCATGTACAGTGTAGAGCCAAAATCATCATTAATTCCTCTTTTCATATATGAAAAACAATAGTGTCTTGTGTAATGGAATACTGTACTCGACACTGCAAAGTCGTCATAAATTGTTGTACATTTATAATTAAGCGTTTGAAACCAAATTTAATTAATTCCTGCTCGCACCTAATCCGTTTTGTACTGATGTAGCGTGCCCCCATATATTTTGCAGGTGAGCAACAACAGAAATCAAGTATTGAATACAATGAAATGCCCTTTTCTGGTAGGCCATTTTGGTAGTTTTTCGTGCTATAACACTAGAGATGTGAAGCTTTAGGTAATTACATAAGGCCTCTGAGGCCCACATGAGCCAATTGGGAAATAGGATTAGGTTTCCTTAAAAGATGAGGGGATCTTATTGATATGAAATTAATGTATCTAAAGACAAGAAAAAGCCCACCAGAAAGTATAAGCATATGAAAACATTGGCTTGAAAGAAAATTAGCAACCCTGAGAAAATAGAAAGCAAACTATTCTTACTGCAGTCCAAATATCCCAGCTATAATGCACTTAATAGCCATCTCATTCATGTGCAGTCTAAACAGAAACTCCCACATGAAAGAGGGAACATAATACTAGTGGCTAACTAGAAAAGGGTTTCATTACATTCAATGCTTAATTTCTTTAGGGCCCATCAGTAGTTCCCAACAGAAGCAACCAGCTTTTATTTTAAGGAAAACAATGGATTTATAGAACAAAAGATTGACCGGGCTTGTCTAGGAAAGAGGGCCTGAGGCAAAGAATATCAGCGACACCAAACACCAAAGTATGGTTGGGTCAAACATACCTGGTATGGAGCATACCTCCATGTGGTTGGACCACTAAAAGCCCCGATCCTGGATATTCACCGCTGAAACATTGGAAAAGAAGGCTGTAAGAGTAAGGATAAACTGCCACCTGGCTAAACTGAATAATTTTCCAGACGCACTGGAAGATGGGCCTCAAAACCAAGTGTTTAAAAGACGGGGATGACAAACGGAATCGCTCAACATAGCAAGAGTATCAGACAAACAACACTGCACTGTGGCCACAGGGCATATGTGGCATATGATGTACCCGTCATCTGGAGAAATCAAGTGTCTGCCAAGAATCTCTTCAGGAAGGCAGATGTCTCATTCTTAGCCAAAGGCTAAGTTAAACACTGAAGTTGGAGTAAAAAACGAGTACCAGGCCCAAATGTCATGCTAAAAGGCCTAGAAATCATGCTAAAGCTTAGCAGCCCAAGTGCTTAAGCCCAGAAAACTACAGTAGCCTGCTAGGAAAGAGTATTTCATTACATTCAATGCTTGGTTTTAATATGAAAAATATAATTTTTTGTGCATCTTAAAAGTACAGCAAATTCTAATTCCCCATTTATTCTGAATATTGGGGTGAAACAATTATAACCGAATGTTAGTGTTTCTGGCTAAACAGGCCTCACAGAGGATATAACGAAGTTTATGTGAACTATAGTGCACCAATAAGGTTTTAGAAGACTGATGTTCACCTTTCACCATACAATCTTACTGCCTTTTTGTTTTATGACAGAGGATTGAATAAAATAAAATAGCATGCCTGATACATACATGTATAATATATTTATTTTAGTGCAGTTAAATTAAATGATCCAGATAAAAACAAATTTTGGAAACATGTTTTATCTACAAGTTGTTTAGCACTGAGGAACCAATCTTGTTAGTATGCTGTACAGAATTAGCAGTGAAAGAAATTAAGACTGGGACATATAAAAGTAGCTTTGACAAAGGAGAAAATACAAAGAAGCATTAAAACAAGAAAACAATTGAGACACTAAACACAAAGAACCACATGCAAAAGAAGCATTATGTTGTGTTAAGAGCTGTACTGAGACTACCAGGACATTAACATGACCACAATGAAGTGTCACTAGAAGGAAACCTCATCATCCCATACAGTATTACTCCCTTATCTTCTTTGAGCAAATGCTTAAGAATCCTTCAAGGCAGCAAATGGAGTACTGACAATAATACAACCCATTCATTTGTTCAGGCAATACACGCAAACTCTTGGAAAATATCAAGTGTTGGTGATCTTAAGACATTAACAGACACAGCACCTTAGATATGCAAAGGCCGTCCTACAGTAAAATAAAGAAAAACTTGGGTAAAAATGTACATGATTATAACTTATATTGCTAGTGCCTAAGAAAAATCATACACACAGAGAAACTGACATTACAGGTACAGTAAATTAAAGAACGGACGTGCCTAGGGGCAAAACATGTCACTTGAACTGGCTTAAAAACTGACAGCCATTTTTCTTACAAAAAACAACTTGCAAGGTTTATCTCAAAGGCCAATTACACCCAGTCTTCCTTATAAGTTTCTAAAGATGAAACACATGATTATATTTTAAGGAAGAAACTTAAGTCTTAAAAATCTTAATATAAAATTCTTGCATAACATTATGGTGAAGTTATTAAATCCCAAAACACTAACAAAACATTACCCAGGATCACTTGGGTAGGCGCAGTTTAAACCGGGAGAAGACTTTGTATCCAAGGCATCTTCCATATGCAGTTTATATATCTTGAAATAAGATTTCTTAAAGTCAATTTCTAGTACAACACAGCACTCATGATGGGACATTATTGCAGAATATACAACTTTTATCTTTGACTCTATATATAAACAAAATAATTTTGCCAACTCTAAATGTCATAAATTGGATTTAAAAAATCATGATACAGCATAAGAAAACGATACTATCCCCTGTTCATTTTATTCAATACGCATTTAGACAATAATTTTTCTTTGAATAGAGGAATCATATATATATTTATTTACAGCATATAGAATTTAAATTTGTATTTTAATTAATCCTTTTCAATAAATATATCATAAATAAATTCATAAGATATCATAATTTATTTCGAATTAAGTGACCATGGCATTTGCCATTTTTAGCTTATCGGGTAATGAAATATCAAACCCTAACTGTGCCATCTGGCTTAGGAAACGACGCCCTCGTCGCTTTTTACTAAGAGCAACACCAAGCTCATCATGACGACAAATACTTCTGAGCGTGGGCAAGTACTCCAAAGATATACTTCTATTCAGTTGGTTCACGAGAGGTAAACTTGATACTATGCTGCCCATCAGGTTCCAGTGACTGCTTCTTTCACTGAAAAAAAATTGATACGTACAATACATAAAACAGTATACATAGTAGCGAAATGAATGATTGCCCTATTTAATTATAATCATGTGCTGAATCTGAACACACAGTATTTATATTTGTACATTATATATATATTTGTACATTTTATATATTTATTTGTACATTATATATATATTTGTACATAAATTATAAATTGGGAAAACGGACAGCTAAAATTATAGAATTTGTATGAGCATACTGTGCAGAGGAAATTCATATTTATGAACAGAATATATTTTGTAACTAGTTTTCATCACTAATTGAATTTAACAATAATTATCTAAATCTGGCACTTGTACTAACACAACATGTTTGCCTCATGTTATTGCCAGGTGTAGCAACACAATATTGTTTGCCTCATGTTACTGCCAGGTGTACAAACATAGCATGTTTGCCAAATGCTTTTGCCAGGTGTACCAACACATGTTTAAAGGTCATAGTCACAACTTTTTAAAAGGAAGCACACTAACCTATCATCTGGAGACAAATGTGGTGGAAGACTTGGCACTGTATATTTGAAATCACTTGACAGGCAGAGTTGTGGCCAATCTCTTGGAGATACTTCTTTAAGGCCAGAGCTAATTTCTCTACTGCACTGAATCAATGCCCTGTGTCCCAATTCATGTGTTATGTCGTTGAGAACCTCAAACGGTGCCCAATGTGGGCTAGAGCACCCTTGTTCGTCACTCAGTCCTGCAGTTGGCTGTCGGATCCACCAGCCATGTTCCTTGATTTGTACTTTAGGGCGAGTTAAACACTGAGAAGAGTTCAAAATATCTAACTGAGTAAATGTATCATACAAATTTGCCATCGAATTTAAACAGAGTTTTGAGGCATTTTGGACAGACTGAGGTACTTCAATTTTGTCTAAAACTTCCTCTTTCTCTTCAATGACATCTGGTTGCGAATCATCTTCATCCTCGTCTATGGATAACCAATTGCAGCGCTGCCAGAGATTTGTCACCCTTAGCAGTGGATCACTAGCGCAAAGAGGGTATCTTTGTACTTTGTTAACTTTCTTTTTTAGAGGGAATGGAAGTATATAGCTGATATTATCTGCCACTTGACTCCAAGCTATATTTCCATTTATGGTTTGAGAACCATCACTACCAACAAGTTGCTTATCCAACTTTAAAGCAGACATAATACCATTAAAGGCTGATGTAGCTTGGAGTTTGCCACACACACCAGCTTTATATAGCTTGACATCTTTTAGTTTAATATTAGTTTCTTCTGGAAATACATCATTTAGGCTCAAATCATGTGTTCTGCAGTCTTCCAAGTTGTTCTCACACAAGCTGATGGATGTGTCTGCCATCTGAAACATCAATTTAAATATAAATCTGTATCTACAAAGAACAAAACTTGAAGTGAAACAATTAAGCCAAGCAATTCAAGAATATTGTCAATGTTTATCTTTGTATTTACAGATACAGTTGACTTTGTGATTATAAATATATATTATTGAGATTAATAAATATATTATATAATTTTCATGCAGGGTTTTTTGGAAACAAAAATTATTTCAAGGGTTTTGCAAGAGTAAAACGGTTGAGAAATATAAATTATATTTGCATATCAAACTGAATTTCACAATGTCATGGAAAATCAAATCACTTGACCTATACTGTACTTTAATTTCTGTGGCAGTGATTATTAACTAATAAGGAGGGATTTGTACTGCACTGTATAGAATCAAGTTTAATTATATTTTAAGAATATAAGGATTACAACATACAGTAATGAGACTAGAGAAGTTATGGTACACACAACAATTATTATCAGTTTCAAGGTTCATGATTGGGCTCCACACCTAGACACTGTGTCTGCACTAAGTTGTACTTATACTGATCGGCAAATCACGAATATCCATTATTTTAAATTTACATGCATTAAAGTGTTGTGTTTCTGGGAGATTCAGAGATGTGAATTCTCTGAGTATTTGAGACGTGAGTTCTCTGCTTGCCGGGTACCACTCAACAATGCTTAAAATGTTTACAATTATTTTATATTTTCTAAGTTATTTGTTGGGTTATTAGTATAAATTTGGTATCAAAATGTTTGCAAATTAATTCTCTAAAAAACACAAGCATAAACAAAAGTGTATTTACAATAGATTATGCACAACAGTGATGAATATACAATTGTTTATGAATAGCAATCAGAATGCAAAAAGCTTTAATTTAAGTTTTTGTATTCAGTACTGAAAATTTGAAGACACTGAGAATAATCACCAGCATGCTCAAGATGGAACATGATATTAGAAATCTCAATTCTACTTTTTAAGAAATTTATCTAGATGAATTTTACTTATGAATTCATTTAAACCAGAGTTAAAAATATGAATAACATACCTGCTGCATCCCACAGTCACAGAGATCATGCGAGGAACCTGAATTGGCCAGCAGTTGAAGATCAAGTATGGACTGTCTAATATCACCTTTATTAGTGTTGATGAGGCTCTCCAAGTCTTTGGAGCAGATGTGATAACCATTGGCCAAACACACCAGCTGCAAATGCTGAGCTGCAAAATTTTATTTGTAAAATTATCTATTTATATTACAAAAGGAAATGCCAAATTATTTGCAATAATAATATGACTCATGTACAACACCTTTAGCCAATACAGTTAGTATTAACACTTACATTTAATACAAAAAACATCATGTTGAATGTAATGAAATGCAATATGTCAGCTCAGATAACCATAAGGTACCAACCAATTCCTACAAGAACAGAAGGGCATTAGAAGGGCTTGCACAATGAGATACTGAGGCTTCACAGAAAAGGGGTTTGATCACAATTAGCGCTTGATTTTTACACTGGCCCTCAGTAGTTCTCCAGTGTATTCTCCTAATGGTGACAATCGAACAGAAAACCAGACAGGCTGGTTTCTTATTTAACAATCGGCAGTGTTGCCAAGCATGGGACAGAAAGTTTAGAATGAGAGGGAGACCATGCAAGGAAGCTTGAAAATACTCAGCAGTGTAGTGCTTTATGTTGCCCCACCTGACTGCAAGATACTATGTCTAAGAACACAGTGAAATCACTTGAGGAAGCAGCAGAATGTATGAGCTCAGAAAGTACTAGGTTATAGCCAATATAACCAGAAGCAACCAAATACTTCAACTATAATCTTCTGAAAGAAAACCTTTTTAATTGTAACATCCAATACACACCTACCTATACAATCTTCTGATGGTGACACGAACTCCATTTTATCGTACGTTCCCTTTATTCTTGAGAAGACACTGGGTGAAGCATTATTAACTGTCAATACAATAGGCCTCTTACTAGTTGCCATGAAGTTATTGACAGTAGAGAGGAAACCATCATCCCATTCTTCAAACACAACATCAATCTGAGGAGATTTAAAGTGAAAAAACAAATTAGTCTCTGATGTACATGCAAACCTTAATGCTGAGCAAGACATTTGATTGCTGCTTTAGGGAAGACCTTGATGGTCCCATTGACAGCATCATTCAGCCATGGCAGGTTGACACTCCACACCAGCACAATGGGAATTTTTTCAAGATTCAACCAAGATGAATGCTGTCCATGGGACCAAGATGCTATCCATGGGACCAAGATGTTATCCATGGGACCAAGATGCTGTCCATGGGACCGTCAAGGTACTCTTGACCAGTTTCTTTTTTTTTCGTAAGTCAATTCACCAAATTAAGGTCTCTGCCAGCCTGAGGTGCCCAGTGATACACACAGAAATGTGAGGTGGGTAGTCAATATGTAGTTACTGACATCTGATGGTGGGAAAATAGAAACTGAGCGAGATAACAAGCTATTAGGAGAGAACTCCTTAATGTCTTTTGACATAGAAGCATTTGAAAGGCACTTTAGTGTGCTTTTGAAAAATGTCTAAATAAATGAGCCTTTTTGTAGTCATTTTCGAGTGAATTGAGAACTCTCCAATTTGTCCATGCACAAGTACATCCTAGTGGGGGATGTCATTATAGCTGTACACTGTTACTGTACAAAATGTTGACCTACACTGACTATGCAGTCTTACCCATGGGAACACTTGCTCAAAATTATTTCAATTTTTTTAAATAAAATTTTGTAGTTTTTATGCCTCAAATTATTACTCATAAAAATTCACCAACAGATTCAATATAACTGGAACCACTAATTATGTCTTGTCAATACTCTAGTACCAATTTCCTGTACTATATACTAATATTATGGCTGCCTTTAACTACACATAATTTTACACTATCATAGAAGCAGATCACAACAAACTAGTTGCTCAGATAACCAATTATAGTAAAAGGGAAAATAAGTAACAACATAAGTTTGACTCACATCCTTGAACAAAACAAGAGATACGTCTTTCCTCTTCTCAAAATCTTTGGAAGACTCTTGACTCTCTTCTCTAATGCATAAAGATGTTGCTGAAAAGACCAATGTTAAAAAGTTAATAAACTATTATAAATTATTGTTAGAAAAGGTGTACAGAATGAACAAAGCAAAAAATAAAATGCTATAATCTTAAAAACTTTTGAGACAAAATTGTGTGTGTACCTATAATTGTCACTCAGTTGTTAACCTATTATATATGAAAGTCAATTATAATCAAGTTAATCACCTATAGTTAATACTGGACTTGCTTTCTTTAAGTTTTAAGTATTTTTTCTTTTGCTTTGCATTGCTCGAGTCAAGTTAACAAAATTATCTTACATTCTTAAATTCCAATTCCTTAATGTGCCAAGCACCATATAAGGCAATTATTATCTTTAGTCGTCACATAAATGCAGTAGCAGAGGGGTTAACAGTAATTAATATAAAACTCACTTGGTGTAATGCTCATCACTAAACTCACCTTTACTTGCACTACCACCATTCTTGGCTGCAAGCATTGTCGTTAATGTGTTGGAAGGCTGAGATGATGAATTATTTGCTACCGAGTGAGACTGCGTAGCCTCGACAAGCTGGCTCATGACTTGACGCCCAGGTCTGCGAGAAGATGCATTCACCTCTAGCACCTACAAACATCAGTATACTGTAGTTTATAAAATATAATTTCCTATTAATTTTACCACCATTACCTCACTTGCAAAGCAAGAAGTGGGATTGAGGGACACTTGCCGAAAAGGCTTGAAAACATTAAGCAAAAGGGTTAAAAATAATACTTGTAGTAAGACCCAAATACAAAACTGAAAAAAATTAATTACAGAAAAATAAACACATCTATCTCATAATTTATGACAATACAAAGAATGTACCATATAACCAAATATTAATACGAAGACTCTACCTTATAGCCCAGTTCAGCTGCCAGGGCATACACTGCTGCAGTTTTGCCAATACCAGGAGGTCCACAGAGAAGGTATGTATTAACAAAGTCGTCTTCGTCCCAGCTACTGGACCCATCCGATTCCTCAAAGCTATCATCTAGTAAGAATTATTTTTGGTTTAGTATGGTGATATTCCTTCATATTGTACACCTAATATTACAGTATTTACATGGTTATTTGTAAATCTAAAAAAAATGGATTCCAATTTCTTTTTTACCTTGTCTGAAAGATTTTATCTTTTTGCTTTTCTCCTTATTTGCATAAGCCTGGCATTTTCTTTTCCATTCTTGTAACCACATCTTTAGCCTTCTCACATGTTCTGCAACAAATGATAATGGAACATTGCTAAACTAAAAATAAGTTTCTACAATTAAAAGATAAACACTATCTCCATAAGAAAAATGATTGAACATATGAGAATATTTATTGCAGTGTAAAATATACAGTATAATTGGTGTTTAATGCAGTGATAAGCCCTCACTACTAACTCTCCAATGGCAGGAATATACTAGTCAACACTTTCACCCTCTTTCTTTCTTTCTGTCATTTTGCAAACCTTGGAAAAGAACTTCAAGATCATAGCAGGATTGCCCACTGTACTATTTGGTCAACTACAAACCCAGAATTGATATATATATAAACAAAAATCCTATACAGTAAATTATACTGACAAAAACACATCATACCTGTGTTTCCTATGACCTGTTTGCCATTTTTTGGTGCAAAGATTTGAGTCCATGAATGTGGAGTTTTCTCGTGCCACAACGGAATAATAGCCTCCGTTTGCATGCATGCCGTCTCATCACTTTGCTCTCTTGTATTTCCTAGCTTGGATCGTTTACTTCTACTCAATACTGCGGGTTTGTTTTTGCGTTTGCGTTTTTTCTTTACCTTTGTGTCATCATCGTCATCTAAAATGACAATGTCATGTTCTTCCATTCTCTCCTTCTCCAGCTCCTTTTTGTACAATTCAACAGCCTCTTTTTTCATATCATAGTATGATTTAAAAACTTTGTAGACAGGAAAGTTTGGATTTTGGCTCTTCATATTTGCCAAAAGTGAAGCAATATCATTCAAGTCCAGTGTTGGCATGTGAAGTAGAGATGCTCTTGAACTGCTGTTAGTCTTCTTAGACAGACTGGTAGTAAAAGGGAAAATCTTTTCCCCTACTGATAAAGTAGGATTATAGTCCTCTTGTTTGGTACCTCGTAAACAAATCTGCATAAATTAAACAATATGAGTACATTTACATAAATGTTTAATATATATATATATACTGTATATGTATGTATAAATGTAGACCAAAATTGGAATGCACTACTGTAGTACAGTATCTGCACAGTAATCACAAATGTAAATCCTATAAAAAATACACAAAATAAATGGTAATTTTTACAAACTATTATCTTAAAAGAAACTCACTTTTGGGATGTCAAGCTTCCACAGAGCTTCATCAGTCTTCTGCTGAACATGACTGACTTCAGGGAATGGAGGCCAGTTATTTAACTCCTCTTCCTGACTGGTGGAATAAACACAAATAATTGAAAGAAGATTATATATAGAGTAATGCTAGTTCTTCAACTCCTCTTGAAACAATGCAAATGAAGCTCTAATATAAAAATCGCCATCCTGAGCAGCAGCAATTGGCTGCTCCCTTAGTTTAGATCTCACACAGTCCTGGATGAGGCTTGCATATATTCAGGCACCACACTATAAGGAAATTTTTAAGCATCCCTACTAGGTCATTTATGTGTTAGGAAGACAATCATGAATAATGAATTCAACACTACTACTTCAATCTCCTCTCATGGTATCATGGTGATCAAGTTTTTGCTATGTACCGGCTGGGCTGCCTGGTCACCTCTGCCAACTGTTTCCAGGTTTACTGACTTGAATCAGTCTACAGAAGAATAGAATGGGAGGAATGGAAGAAGGCAAATCAAGCTGCTAAGATAGAAGCTTTATTCCTCTTGCTCATACCTTCCCTCCTCCCCAACCTGAACCACTTGAAGAGGGAACGGCAAATGTAGCCATGAACAAGAACAATAACTTACGCAACACAAATGCACCCTCAGCCGAAGCACAGGGCCTGTCTATATAGGGAAAGAGCCAGGCACTACAGTCACACAAACGTCTAATTTCAATCACTTTCCATTTTTTCAGTTATTGGCTATCTGATCCCTAAGTTTCTCTTGCCTCGCAGGGCCAGGGGCCAGATTCACAATGCAGTTACACAGGTACTTACGAACGTGTACATCTTTCCTCAATTTTTGACGGCTTTGGTTACATTTATTAAACAGTTTACAAGCATGAAACCTTCCCAATCAACTGTTGTTATTGTTATAAATAGCCTCCTGGTGTTTCGAAGCTCATTAACTGTTTAATAATTGTAAACAAAGTCGCCAAAGATTGAGAAAAGATGTACAGGTTCGTAAGTGCTTGCGTAACTGTTTCGTGAATCTGGCCCCAGATTCTAGTCTTAGCTCCCAGTAGGCTTCAATTGATCTCATAAGCCTATAGTGATTTTCTAAAGCTTGGCACTTCAGTGTTTTAGCATCAAGGATACTACTGAGGAAGCTCTCCCAGAAAAAATTACTAAAGGTCAACACACCTCTACCAAGGAGTGGCCTGTTAGGTATAGAATGACACCAACACACAGGTGAAGAAACAGCAGAATGGATCTGGTTGGTGTACAGCAAATACCTAAGTTATTGTCTGTTATCACAGAGGACAATGAATGAAGTGATATAATCAGAGACAATTAATCACTGTTGTGCACCAACTGCACAGAAAAAAACCCTGAATAAAGCACAATCCAGAACTAATCCTTAAGCACAGGACACCAAAATTCAGAACAGTGATACCAGGTAAAATGTAACTGAAAATCTGGTCCACACATGCCAAACTGTGTGATGATGATGAATTAGGGATGTCTGAGGTATAACGTGGCTGTTAGCAGAGCAAAGAATCTTATGATGCCATGGGAGTATTTAAAAAATCTTTAAGCTTTTATGAGAGAACTCCTATTGGTCATTCTGGGCTAGATTGAATATTCTTCAGTGGCTCCCTAATATTTTTAATGACCATGCAGAGGCTGCTTAAAAAAGTCCCAGTAGTGCTAGTGGCAGAATGTAGTCCTGCCTAACTCCATGATTCTGTCCTTCAGATAGAGCAAACCATACCTTAGAAAGCAGTCAAATGAAAGCTCAGTATACATGAAGTAACACCTAAAATATTCATGAAACGCTCAGCCACATCAACTTATCTACGGATTGAGATACAACTATTGTCTGGGGCTCTTACATGAAGGCTCAAAATGACAAGTCAAACTGAGCCCGGAACGATTTAATTGACTAAGGGCAAGGCCAATACCTTAACCAATTATCAGTCCCCACCTGCCTACAGCAGCTAATGCAATCAGGATGTTTGTAAAGTTGGTGAAGATTCATAGGGCCTCAATTTTATTTGTGCTGCCACCCAGTGATGAACCTACCACTGGCTTTCAGTTTATAGCATTACTGTGGCTCTGAAAGCCTTGGGCTTGTGAAATCAGCAGAAATTTTAGAATATAATAAATTGATTCTGGCTAGATTGACTGGCTACAGTGAGGCCAAACACCCTAAATTGGTTAATGATTGAAATTGCAGTCCAAACAGCATTCATGACAAATAAAATCGGTTTGACTAAAATTATACAACAGCACAATTTTTTTTATACCCTTCATTCTATTTCACTTAACCTTTTTGACAATATATTAGCCTAATTCACTACTCTGGTATGGAAATTCTAAATTTAAAAGCTGAGTTCTTTCCTTTTCAGCTTTTATTCTCAATACTCAGTTTCTGCACCATTTAGTTTCCTCTCAACAATTTTCCTGTATTTAAAAAATAAATGGCTTTGATCAAATACAGGAAGAAATATGTAAAAATACAAACAACAGCCACTTAAAGGTGCAAGCTACAGTATAGTTGCCAAATTACACTTCCCAACAGAAGATATCGTACCTTTTCTCAATAAAAACCTGCTTCTTGATCTCATCTGGCACACCTGACTGTAAGAAGTCTTGACGAGCCTTGAGCTTAGATGGAGACAACACAACCTTTAATACCTCGACACATGGTGACTTCGATTTCTTGCAGAATATGGGTGCCAACTTTGTATCTGCGAACACCAAGTTATATTGCTGTATACTTATTGTTTCATAGTAGGAATGAAATAATATAATGAGGATGACAAGAAAAAATACAAATCAAGAATTGATTGTAATGAAACATCCTTTTCTATTTGGGTCCCCTCAGTAACTTCTTGAGCTAAGCACTGGTCCAACAAGGCCCTATGGAGATGTACCAGGCCACTGAGACCCACTCTTGTTTACTAGGAGCCAAGACTCTGGCTCTGTCGGTGAGGTGAGGGCAGCTTGAGGATCACAGATAAGACATCAGCCCAAAACTGAGAAAAACCATCAAAGGCAAATACAACAAAACAAGTAACTGAAGAAAATTAGGTATCCAGAAATAACAAGGTAAACAAGGTAAACAATCGTTACTGTTGGATAAGCACCCTAACCATGTTGCACCTGAGTGTCACCAGGTGGCTGTCAGTTCACCTGAGGCTCTAGCCAGCCTGCCCTTGTACTCTATGCCCAAGTCACAGCATAGAGGCACAGGCAGAGTCCATCCTCTACTTCATGCTTTTGCTAAGTGGCATTAGCTATCCCTGGAACACTAAGTCTGTTGGGGGGAGATGCTGCTTTGTTATTGTTTCATTTTTCCTTTATGATTGCATTTTGTCACCCACATTGCATGTAATTTATTACGACTATGGGCCAGAGTTCCTTCCTTGGTAGTCAACTTGTGCTTTCTGTGCTCTAAGGAGTTCAGATGCCCCCTCTAAATGTTGACTCCCCTTGAGTCACCTTGTTTCCAGGTAGCACATGGAACTTTTTCTCCACTGCAAAGTCAGTTGATGAGGAGTGCAACAGTCAGCTGTGTGCTTGTGTTGTAATCACTCATAGCCCTGTGCCATGTGTAATGGGATTTTGTGCTTTCACCGAGGGTGCACCAGGGTCACATAAGTGATTGCTTGTTTGTGGCTACCTGCACCTTTCCCAAGCACGTGTTGTGTATGGAAATCAGGGTTTGTTCAGCCAAGATGCTTCCCTGATGCCTGGCATACCTACCTGTCTGTATGACCGGCCGGGTGGATGGTTTTCTTTGCCCTCCCCCTCTTTCTTGTGTGGTTTAAATCCTCGGCGGGTTCTTACTGGCCTGTTGGGGGGTGGGGGGGGGGGGGGGACCTGCAATGGGCCTGTGCCTTATTGCAACAGCTGGTGGCATCTGCATTTGTGGTGTCTCTCTCCTCAGTTTTGGGTTGATCTCTGATCTTCCATCGTTTAGAGGACAAGGATGAGTTTCAGAGACCTGTTGCATATCCCTAAAGCTAGGCAGGACCAGTATTGAGCTCAGGGAGCTAATTAATTAAGGGGCCTCCCAGAAAATAATAAAAATATAAAAATTTCAAAATCCAAATCAGGTTAGGAACAATATAATCCAATTTTTGAGGAAGCATAATATAAATGAAATTTACAAGCCATTATAATGCTGTGCTGTAAAGGTGAGGAGACAGAACCAGAGTTGCCTTTGATTACTACTCTTACTACCAACTAGGTCTCCATCCACGTAATGATCATCAAGCACTATCTCTGACAAATATTTTACTGTAGTAACATCAACTATTAACCTAATAAGAACAAATTTAAAGGGAAACATTCCCGAAGAATAAAAGAAATGTCTGGATAATCTCCATGATTACAGGTTATATTTAAAATGCAGGCACATGTATTACCTCTTGTAACAGCATCTTTTCTACTGGCCCTGTTTTTCTTCTCTCCTTCCTCAGCCTCCAATATTTTCCTCTGTTGATCTAGCGCCTTCTTGGCACCAATGGCAGCTTGACGAGATGGTCGCTGACTTCTCTTACCCTTCTCTTTAGCATCTTCAAGCTTTTTACCTGTATTCTGAGCCTTTTTAGATAATACTTTTTTGTTCTTCAGTGCCAGTTTTCTTCTTGCTTGGCCTGCTGGAAGTGGCTTAAGCAATACCTGAGATGATTTCCTCTTTTTTGTCTTCTTAGGAGACTTAATTTTGTCATCTACAAATGATGAAGTATCATTAATTATAACCACATCACTGTTAGTAAGAGCCATGTTAACAAGGATGTCATGCTTGTCTACACACTCCAATGCATGGTCTACAAATGCTTTCTTTTTCTTCTGGTGTTCAATGACCTTTCTTGTCCCCTTAGCTTTCTGCAGAAGCTTCTTGGTTTTCTTTTGTACCTGGTTCTCGACTGTGTTATTCTGCTTTAAACTTAATGATCTTCTCTTTTTCACATGTTGTGAAGCATGTTTAATCCTCCTTATTTTTAAGCTGAAAAATAAAAAATAAATGCAATGAATAAATTTAATTATTTAATCACAATGCTGCACAATATGACAGTATCAAGTCAGAGATCAAAGTGAAAACTACATTGTGTCTCTACCTGAGAGGACTATAAGTCCACTTCAGGGAGACACTCAAATGCTTCAGTTCATCATTCAGCTTTACCAATATAGTACTGAATTTTATCTCAATTCAGAAACATGCAGATGAGTGTGGGGGAAATTCACCATAACTCAAGATGTAATTTAATAAAATTTAAAGTAATCTGCTTTCTAATTGGCTAACAATACTAATACATACTCTTCTTTATTAAAATACATAGAATGTGGGATCTGTTTCAGTGCAGTGTGACTGCAACACCACAGCTAGAATACCAAATACAAAATCATACAAGAAGTCACTTACCGAAGTTTGCCAGGCTTCTGGTCGAGCGTAGAAGTATATTTGACCCTGTTTTCTTTGTCATCTTCAGTAATTTGAGTTGATGTACACCCTAGTTCTTCTGCTCCATCACTTCCCAAAAGTGAGTCAGAGCTAATGTCACAAATGGATTCTGCTGGTGGCAAGCAGCTAGAGTTAATATCACCTTTGTTATTTTTCCCAGATATTTTACAGGATTTTTTTCCTTTCAATTCTGATCTCCTTCTCAAGGATCTTCTAACAGTTGTGTTGTTATCACTGTCTTTGTCCTCAATACTTACACTTTCTTGTACTTCATTTTTTTTCCTGGGTATTCTTGCTTTAGACTTTTCTTTTGAAACAGGGACAGCCATTTTTAACCGATCTTCGTCAGAAGTTTCCATTTCCAGGCAACTCTCTTTTTCATCATTTAAAACTTTTTTATAAACGGCATTCTGATCTTGAGAAGCTTTTAAAACCTTTCTTAATGATTTAGTTGCTTTCTTTGTTGTGTTTCTTTCCATTTGTATTATGTCACTGCTACTGCAGCCTGAGGATATTGGTGACCTTTTATCTTTTTTCACAAGAGCATCCACCTCACTTGTTTTATGTTCTTCAACTTCACTACTACTGATGAGTCTCAATGAATTGGCCTGACTTTTCTTTGGCGAGGCTGTGACAACAATTTGTTCCAGCAATTCTATCTTATTCAAATCTTCTAATTCTTGATTCCTCTTTATTCTCTTGCTTAGCCTGCGACTGCATCCCTTGCTGTGGCTCTCAGACATATTCTCCTTATTAACATTAGTAGAATTATAACCCTGCCTGTCGCATATTTTACTCTTACGACCTTTGTTATCTGTACTGACCCTTGCCTCCACACCACTGTCAGGAGCATGTACATCTGCTTTGACTGTGAAAACATTCTTGCTTCTTTCCACTGATTTTTCTTCTTTACTAATTTTCTTAAAGAACTGTGGAATGCCATTTTTCTTGGAACAATCTTCCTCTTCCTGACTACAAGGACCCCCTTTTAAAACAGATATGGAACTTAAATTTTGATCACAAGGTGTTTCAGCCATGTCAGAAACACATGAGCCATCATCAGAGTCAATTATACAATTAATTTTTTTTCTCTTCCTCTTCCTCTGAGACTCGTTTGAGTTCAAGCGTTTTGTCCTTTTCCCGGGTTTCTTGACTTCTGCAACTCGATCATCTAGATCATCTAGTAATTTCCCAGGAGATTTGACATCTGCACACCCATCATCTAGCAATTTCCCAGGTTTCTTAATATCTGCCCCTCCATTATCTACTACTTTTCCAAGAGGTTTCTTGATATCTGTACCCCCAGCATCTACTTTGCTTGTGTCATTAATATAAACATTTTTCCCTATGTCACAATTTGTTTTCCTTATTTTGTTACACTGTGTAATATTCTTATCAATATGGCCAATGTCCTTTCCATCTTTACCATATGTTCCTTTGGTTCTCTCATTCATGCTTTGCTTTTCACTATCAACTTCTACTATTTCTTCACTTTTATTTATTTTTGAATCCTTCACTCTCTCTCTGTCTAAGGCTTGTTTCATGAAGTCTGTAAAAGAAACTGATATGCAGTTTGATGATGTTTTTTCCTTCTCTGTCTCATCAAAACCTGACTGTGACACCGCAGAACTTTTATTCCTGATAATATTGTTCGCCATCTCCCCATGCTGTGGCTCCCCCTCTCTCTCAACATGTACCTTTTCTGAAATACCAATATCTGAATTATTTGGTATGCCTTTACATTTCTTACTCAATTTTCTTCTTTTCTTTTTGCCTTTATTCACTGTTAAATCAAAATCTTGTAAAGAGGAATCAAGTTCCTCTCTCTTGCGTTTTTTAATACAACCAGTCCCTTTGTCACTACCAGTATTGATTTCTGAAAGAACAATGTGTTTCTCTTGAGCTTGGCCTTTTGGGTGAACTTCTGAAATTGGGTCGCAAGTTTCCACAACATTTTTAATAGGAGACTGTTGTTTGTCCAGCCTATGACGATTTGCCATCATGATTTTAAATACATCATTTCCCTTAACCACCTTATTCTTCCACAATTTCAAGGACTGAGAACTGTCAGTGCCAGCCGCTTTGTTATGCATTACAATCCCTAGTCCACAAGACTTATCTCCATCAGTTAAATCAGACTCATCTTCACTATTGCTGATAATCTCAATACATTCCTGCAGCTTGCTGGAACTCTGATCAAGAATTTTACCACCCCTATCGTCAACCTTATTCAAATTTTCTTTCTCGTTTAATTCCTTTAAAATTTCATTCTGTTTTCTTCTATTAGCCATCATAACAGCAAAAATATTTGTTTCTTCCATCTTTGGCATATCTGAGAGTTTTGGCTCAACTTTATCCAACAGGTTTGTCTCAGTTTTCTTCTTTGGTGTATCTGACAGTATTTCCTTATCTTTTACAGAAGACGATGATAATTTATTATTCTTAGATTGAAATTCTTCCTTGGTTTTAGAGGTGCTACTAATATTTACATCAAGTATTTCAAGATGAGATATCTCTGGATGAGAAGCTGTGCCTTGATTTGAATTTAATTCTTTGTCAAAATTAACCTTCTCCTTTTTATTAGTAACTAAGATTTCTATATCAGGAGAACTTTCTTCTTGGTTTACATAATTATTCATAAATCTACTATTCCAAAAACAGTTAGTCTTTTGACCATCTTTACTCACATACTTAGTATTTCTATTTGAATCAGAATTTGTCTTAATTTCTGGCGATATTACAATAACTTCGTTGTCATCTTTACAACAAGAGTTGCACTTTGATTGACTTTCAGTTGGTTTTCTTACCACTGGCGTTCTTGCCACCTTTTTGAAATACATTAATATATCTTTTTTTTCTTCTGCTTGCCCTGATGGTATTTCCTGCGGGCATTCATAATATGATTTGGAACCCATTTGCCTTCTTTCATGCTGGAGTATGTCCTGAAGGAGAAAATATAAAAGACCATTGAGAGTGCATAGTTCCTTTATTACATACTGTAAGGGTAAATATCTTCAATTGTTTAAAGTATTTCCCTAAATAAACTAATTCAGTTTCAAGTCTTTAGGAAGCTCTCTAAGAGCAAAACATGGTATTTAGGCACACACCAAAACAAAGGTGGGGAAAACAAAGTTGTTAAACAGGTCGCCATGCTACCAATTTTTTTAGTGCGTTGCCTAAATAAAACATCTAATGCCATGCCGACATTTGCACACTTGTGAACTACACATCACTCAATTTGAATTATAGAGTAAGACCGAATTTGTGTATTCCTGAATCCCACATTTAGAATTATTGCAATTTACGAGTCTATCATTCCTCCAAATACAGTACATATACAGTGGTACCTCGGAATACGAGTGTCCCTGAATACGAGTGTTTCGGAATACGAGCAGGATTTGCTCGGAAAATGTCCCTCGGAAGGCGAGGGTTACCTCGGAACACGAGTTTGTTGATACGCGTACAGGCCGAACTAGCGCGTGGTGGTACTGCGATTGTCGCCCCTCACCCCTCAGTTTACCAGTGCCTCGCGCCAAGTGACTATCCCACGTCAATTCTTCACCCGGATTTTCAGTATTTTGTTGGATTTTTGGTCATTTGACCATAAAAGTTGTTATTATATATCTCACCATGGGTCCCAAGAAAGCCAGTGGTAAGGATCAAGGCAAGAAAGCCCATGTGAGGATGACAATAGAGGAGAAACAAGAGATCATTCGGAAGCATGAAAATGGTACACGGGTTGTTGAACTGTGGGAAGAATTGTGGGAAGAGATGCAAACTTATTGAAAAGACTCACCCAGAGAAAGCTGTAGTAGGCCGTTGCCTTAATCTTTTCAATGACAATGTGATGCCTTACTACAGAGACAGCTTGCGAAGAAGGGAAAAACAAGCTTCTATGGACAGATTTGTTGTGAGAAAATCGAGCAGTGAGCCACAACCAGGACCTAGTGGTATGCAGGCAAAACGTGCCAGGGAGTGTACACCAGAAAGGTCCTCACTGCCTGATGTTATAATGGAAGGGGACTCCCCTTCCAAACAGTAACACCTCTCCTCCTCTCCCCCCCCCCTCCTCACCATACGCCCACAGCATTCATCAACAAGGGTAAGTAATAACTTGAAAATAGTTTGTAGGGTTATTTAGATGAATTGGGTATAAAATTTAGTTTGAAGTGAGGTTTTTGGGGTAGTCAGGAACGGATTAATTCATTTCCCATTATGGGGAAATTAGCTTCAGAATACGAGTTTTCGGAATACGAGCTGTCTCCAGGAACGGATTAAACTCTTAAACCAAGGTACCACTGTACACAGAAAACATTTTTCCAAATTGCTACTTGATTAAGCCTGGCTGTTTTATTTTTCAACAGGAACACATATGCCTTTATTTTACTGATATTTTAGTTTATTTTCATTTTTTTATTTATACTGTACTGTATATACAAGAGTACATACTTACTTTCTTGTAAAGCCACTAGCATGCAGTGTTTCGGGCAGGCCCTTAATCTTAATTTTCCCTGGAATAGAACCTACCAAATCCTTTTGCAACCAGATACCTGTTCACTGCTGGGTGAACAGAGGCATACAGTTAAGGACTGGCGCCTAGTCAATCCTCCCCGGCCAGGATACAAACCCAGGCCAAATTGTTTGCCAAGTGCAGGGAGATTGTGTTAACACTGCGCCACAGGGACTGCATTTGCAACAAATCATTAGACTTTACGAATTGAAAAAAACATAACATAGATCATCATAGCTTACCTGAATATCTACAGCAGTGGACATGGTACACGTGAAAGGCTGCTTTCAGTGCATGATTCAAAGTTGGAGACACAATTCACCTACAATTACAAAGAAAAAATATATAAAATATTTTGCTACAGAAATACTGGCAATGAATGTATTACATAAATGAACATAATTTTACTTGGATAAATATGACCTAAAAAAACATAGAATTACCTAAATCTTTGTACAATAACATAAATAATTTATATAAATAAATTATTTTCCTATGGTATTATTGGTAATGAATATGGAAAACGATTACACATATTGTATCTAAGCATGGAAACCTCCTCTTCAGAAAGACAATCTACTTTGGAGAAAGTTCAAAACTGGGCAACAAAAAATCATTCCCGAACTAAGTCTCCGTGGTGTAGTGGTAAGACACTCGCCTGGCGTTCCGCGAGCGCTATGTCATGGGTTTGTATCCTGGCCGGGGAGGATTTACTGGGCGCAATTCCTTAACTGTAGCCTCTGTTTAACGCAACAGTAAAATGTGTACTTGGATGAAAAAACGATTCTTCGCGGCAGGGGATCGTATTCCAGGGACCATAGGATTAAGGACTTGCCCGAAACACTACGCGTACTAGTGGCTCTACAAGAATGTAACAACTCTTGTATATATCTCAAAAAAAGTAAACTCTCATACCAGGAACAGTTGAGGGCCTCATGGCTAACATCACACATCACAGCAAACCACACATGACAGGGCTGATCTCGTCAAACTACTCAGCAGAGGATCAACTGGAAGACTATAAACTCAGTAGTCTCCAAGATAACATAAACATTAGACATCCTGTGATTTCAGAGTGGTGGAACGCAATCTCAAGATTAACTCTTTAATCACTAATTAGCCTATATTAAGGAACTATTCACTTATTACCAGCATCCTTGAGATGAACAAGCACTCCCTGTAGACCTAGCCATCAACTGCGCACAAGACAATAAAGCAAGTGACTCGAGAACATCAATTGCAAGAGAAATTAAATTTAAAAAAATATCACCCGTTAAAGCGGTTTAGGGCCGTTTTAAACCCAACTGGAATATTACACCAAACACAAGCGCCTAAGGTAACATAAATTGACCCCCCGCACAATTTCACCGTCATATTTCAATAAAATATGGGGTAAAATGGACATTACCCCGAGAATCCCTTCTGTTTACACTGCGATGTTTGTTGATACCAGATTTGGCGCGAATCTTGCGCGGGATAATTTGGCGGTTCTTGTAGCATTTTGATGCATTATTGTAATTTCATGTATTAGAAAATATCTAAAAATGAAATATCTTATTAAATAGGGTTACGATGGTGATACAATAATATATAATCGGAATAAAATAGATGTCTCCCAGCAGGAGGGAAAGCAATCTCTCTGAAAAAGCGAAGCGCTCTGTAACAGGATTGCCAGATATAAATTGCTGAAAGTAGCGAGCTGACGGTCAAAAAGTAGCGAATTTGTAATAGGAGTAGCCCAATTTTTTGTTGAGTGACTGATACGGGTTTCAAAGTAATATATTTTGATAAATAGAGTACACTACACGATGTTAATTGTTTTATTCATATTATTTCTGCACACACACACACACACATACAAAAAAAGAAAACTTCGCAGAAAAAAGCAGTCTCCGTGGTGTAGTGGTAAGACACTCGCCTGGCGTTCCGCGAGCGCTATGTCATGGGTTCGTATCCTGGCCGGGGAGGATTTACTGGGCGCAATTCCTTAACTGTAGCCTTTGTTTAACGCAACAGTAAAATGTGTACTTGGATGAAAAAACGATTCTTCGCGGCAGGGGATCGTATTCCATGATCGTACTCGGAACAATGAGTACGATCATTGAGAACTCGGAACGATCGTATGATCGTACTCGGAACAAGTTCCAAGTAGCACGGGCTATGGTGAGCCCGTAACTTACCTGGCACAGGAGTTGGGCAAATAACACTGGCTATGGTGAGCCCGTAGTGGACTTACCTGGCACAGGAGCGGTGCCGTCTGATTAATTATTGGATTGATTGATGATGATGATTGATGAAGATTAAGCCACCCAAAAGGTGGCACGGGCATGAATAGCCCATAAGTGGTGGCCCGTTTAAGCCATTACCAGTATCAAGAGCTGATACTGGAGATCTGTGGAGGTGCGACTGCACCCTGCGTGACGGGAGATGTCTCCCGTGGACTATTCTAAAGGATTTGGTTTGCTTTTATAACTGCAGCTTCCACTTGTTGTACAACTATCAGGGATTGGTGTTAGCGAGTAATCCTTATACTCGCTCCATTATCTCATTATCTTAATGGCATAACTAATTACACAAGCTATAATCCTATCCCTATTTACAGGTAACGGTTTTTCCACCCTTTTTACGGGCTATTCATGCCCGTGCCACCTCTTGAGTGGCTTAATCTTCATCAATCAATCAATCCACCCTCCTATCTTACTGTGAGGTGTAGTCACCGTATATAAGCCAGCGATTTGAGAATAGCAAACTTACGGGCTATTCATGCCCGTGCCACCTCTTGGGTGGCTTAATCTTTATCGAATAGCAAACCAGTACAATCTCCAGTCAAGAATGTAGTACTCGGTGTAGGCAGTTCTCATCTACCCAAGACTACAGCTTCGACACAGAGCAGGCAGCAGACTACGACCTCATCCAGCTACAACGCTCTCCCACATAGAGCTCCGCGACTCCGGCCACACTCAGCTCTCTGCTCTGCTCAAGGCTTGGTCTCAACGTCTACGACACTGCTGTATCCAGGACTACTAAATAAATATGAAACTCACTAAACACTGTGTATCTAATCAACCCAACAACATAACATAATCGTACGGTACAGGTGGATTCTGACTCCAAGATAATGTTGATGATTTGGTAGTTGTGCATTGTTATGCCCCACATGAGTGAAAAAATCTCCTGTTTTCTGTCCTAAGTTGTGGCTTCTTGAACCTATCCACTGCTGCCCACTAGATGGGGGGCGGTGTGCAGGACAAACATATAAATTGTGACACTATCTCTCCACATATGTCAGTTGCTTAATTTAGAACCTGTACTTGAGGTCGATCTCGAACCCATTGTTGATGTGACGACTTATATTGAATTTTGTAACTAGCTCATCAAGATTGTAACTTGCTTAACTAAATGAATTGTGGGGTTCAGTCCCTCTGCCCATTATGGCAGCTCCTGCTTGGCCGATAGAGTGGTTAATTGATGTATGTGGTTGCCAGGGTGAATACGCAAGTATAGTCCCACGCAAATTGTCTGGCATTTTTCCAATGGCGCAGTATGATTCCATCTATACAAGATGGTACATTAGATTTGTGAGAGTACATAACATTGGTGTTCTTACATTCGACTTGATAATGGGACGGACCGAAACGTCGTCGTCTTTTCATCTTCTGGTGTGTGGCTTAGCTTTCAAACATTAGTACCTCTCAGAGACATCATTGAAATGCGTGAAGCAGCTATGATGCACAACTGGGAAAACTTATCGCCAGGGCAGTGGGAAATCCTGCGCCACGACTTCCTGCAGGCTCCTAGCTGGCGTTTGGAGAGGTCTTGGCCTTTCTTGAAGCTTACACTGTAGTACGCTTGCAAGGTCACTCTTAATATTTACACTGAGGTATTTGTATTGCCTGCGGTCTTCGTGCGCTAATCACTGACTTTAAAAACAAGGTGGTTATTATTTTTTGCCTAAGTGAGCAGCCTCGTCCCCCACCTTACCCCACCCAGTACCGCTGACTGTCACCAAGTTCGCCCAGTCCCAGCTGAAGAGTCTCACCCCACTAACTCGGCAATGTGATGTTATAGTGGCCAGAATACGTCTTGGTTATAGACGTATCTGGCAGCTTTCTCAAAACCCAAATGTCGAGTACACAATGTGTTAACTTTGTGAAAGAGAAAACATGCACTCACTTGAACATTATATTGTAGAATATTTCATATTGACTGACTTTCGCCCTCCTGGGCTGAGGTATGCTGAACTCTGTAACTACTATATGAGTACTGGAACACTTGATATATTGGACTAGTACCCTAGATTGACCATGTAATGTATCACTTATACAATGTATGTATGTGATGTAACTATATAACCTGAGCTTGTAAAAGCACCTTAATCACCTTCAGTGATTAAGTGCTTAATTGCACACTAGTTTCTCTATCAGCTATCTCACCCTGTCAGAGTAGAAGAGACAAATGTATGTGTATGCATGTGTGTGTATATATGTATGTATATATGTATATGTACGTATATATGTGGATGTATGTATATGTATGTATATAAAGTATATGTGAAAGCTGATCAGAATTACATTTCACCTTTGTAAATGCACATTAATGACACTATGTAAAAGACACATCGAACACTTTATGTAGGGCATACGTAAATCTGTGAATCTATGTATTTGCGTATGTAGGTTAGCTTAGCATTTTAAAAGCACCGAATCACCTTCTGTGAGATGTGTTAACACGATGTACTGAACGGGGTGAGAATTGCTTGAGCTACCTCATCCCTTTGTGTGTATTTCATCTCAATAAACTTATTTCAATTTTAATTTCTGTGGTTGGTTGTTCAATAAATCCCTGAAGTATATGTTTAACAAATCTCTAACCCTGTCCATGGAGGACAGAAGAAAATGTATATATGCTGGTTAGCATTGTAAATGTGTGGCCACGTCTGTGGTAGAAAATAATAATAATAAATTTCTCTCGGTAACATTTGAGGAGCCTCGTTCCCCTTTTACAGGCTCACAATAGCCTGTGTTACATGTCAATTTTGTTCCAGTAGCTGAATCTGAAACAACAACAAGCCTCTCGTTCCTACCTCTCCTTGCAGTACCAGCTGAAGAGCCTCGTCTCCACCTCAAGGCGGCAACAATAAAAAATATCCTGGCCGGGGAGGATTTACTGGGCGCAATTCCTTAACTGTAGCCTCTGTTTAACGCAATAGTAAAATGTGTACTTGGATGAAAAAACGATTCTTCGCGGCAGGGGATCGTATTCCAGGGACCATAGGATTAAGGACTTGCCCGAAACGCTACGCGTACTAGTGGCTGTACAAGAATATAACAACTCTTGTATATATAAAAAAAAAAAAAAAAAAAAAAAAAAAAAAATAATGTAGCGAGTATATTATGTCAACAATATACTCGCTCCAAAATTATCTTGTAGCATTGCATCCATAGTAAGGGTCAAAACCGTTAGTAATTTCAAAGCATTATGTGACAAAGAGTGCAAGGAAGACGGGACACCACGAGCGTAGCTCTCATCCTGTAATTACACTTAGGAAATTAGAACCGTTCGGGGAGGGGACGGGGGGGGGGTCATGTCGCTACCTGACCTGACCCAAGCCTCGCTCACCTCCGCTACCTCAGCATGTAACATTTAGATAAGATGAGATGCTTAGAGGGGGTAGAAATAGCCTAAGCTACTCTATCCCTTTGAGATGTATTTCTTTCTTATCTCAATAAACATACTTGAACTTGAACTTGAGATGCTTATTCAGGTAAAGGTACATATATTGAAAATGAGTTACAAACATTGAATTGAAAAAAGGAAAACTAGAAAAGGGGGAATGATAATAATTACATGATGGATGGAACAGCAAAAAATGCAACAGAACAGCAGAAAGAATTTTAAATAAACAGAAGATTACAATTTTCTTTAAATTTACACATACCAGATATCAGCAGTTAAACAAATTGTAAATAATCAATATTGTTTGAAAATAGCAAAACATAGGATGACATTTAGGAGGTAAGGTAGGTTATATGGAATTTATTAGGTAGTACTTAGTTTTTCTCTTAAACTGGTTGAGAGAGGGACAGCCTTTGACGTGATTGGGAATGTCATTCCACATTCTGGGTCCCTTGATTTGCAGAGCATTTCTAGTTTGGTTAAGGCGCACTCTTGGAATATGAAATAGGTATTTGTTTCTAATATGGTCCCCATAGGTTCTGTTACAACATTCTAAGAAGCTTTTAAGGCCTGGATTGACATTACAGTTCAGAGTTTTATATATATGTAAAGTACACGTGAGAGGATGTGACTTAATATCTAACATATTCAAAGATTTAAGTAGGGTGGCCGAGTGCTGTCTGGGGGCCAGAATTTGTTAATGCTCTAATAGCAGAACTCTAATTGTGTTGGGTAATTAGAGGACGTAGATTATTTTGAGTAGTATAACCCCCAAGCACAGATACCATAATTGAGATAAGGATAGATGAAAGAGTAATAGAGTGTTACCAAAGCAGGGCGAGGTACATAATATCTGATCTTAAAAAAAATGCCTACAGTTTAAATTTTTTTTTTGCTATAGATGTATGTTGAATTTGGCGCTGGAAATTAAGCTTGTTATCGATGAAAACATCAAGGAATTTTATAATGGCTGCAATCAACCTATGACGCTACAATGAGATATGTAGCCTTTATCATCTTCTCGGATAACTAGACGTCGTATGTCCTCACTTAAACTCGATCTCAATTGCAACTAAGATTACCTATCCTGGGACACCTTACACAAGGTGCTTCAACCTGGAACAAGAAAAATCATACTGCACAGTACACACTACTGTACAATCATCTGTAAACCACGTGTGCGCAAGATCAGCTTAGAGATTTTAAATTCTTACTAATCATAATTAACTCTCAGATCCCTTTCGCAATCCAAATTGGCAATTTCAACACTATCAAGCTCGTATCTTGTAACTCTACCATCATTAACTAGCCTCAAAACCTTACATTTGTCTTACATATCCTCAATAGTAGATAAACAAAGTAATTCCAGAACTTCAGTTACCTAATACCAGCATTGTATAAAACTTATCATAAGCTACGGGATTTGTAGATCAGTTTAAAGGGAGTTCAGAAGTAATTTACAGCTGATGCCATCTGTCGGCAAAAAAGAACACTATCAAGAAGTCTGCTGGTAAATAGTAGCCAAAAGATACAGCTTATGCCATCTGTTGGAATTAAATTGCACTATTAACATTTTACCCTTCAAAATACACCTGGCGCCATCTCTGATTTTTCCAACACACTAAAAATATCCAAACAGCAGCCCATAAGGCGGGTTGTTGTGCTGAAGTAAGAAGTCCCCCCCACCTCCCACCAGCCTCCATATCATTGGTAGATATTATTTGTTGACATTCACCACAGCCAATCACAGGCAAGGGATCAGCTAAAGGTGCCGCATCCACTTAATAAATTATCATTGTTCTGCACACCAGCCCTACTTATGATATGCTGTTTCAACTTTAATCTACCTAAAATGTGAAGTGTTAATTATTTAAAAGTATAAATAAAGTGATAAATAAATATTGTAGGATATAACAGGTGTTATAGAACAATGGTTTGGCTACCAAACTTCTCACGTCTTCAGTGGGTGTTGCCACACAAATACTACTACTAATAATAATAATAATTATAACATCGGTGATACGATTCTCCGCCCTCTTATTGGACTACATTATTCAGTTAGATGAACATTTCTGTCAGGGGACAAAATATATTGTGCAAAAGGACGTATTTCTTAGTTTGCATTTCATTCCTAGAAAGAGTGTTGGCATTCCCTGCAACAGCCAATCACAGGAAGGTATTTGCTACAGCTCCGCCTCCTATTGAAGTCCTCGGGAGTGTTCACTACACCGATCTCTCTCAGGGCTTTCTGTTTTATCTCTTGTATATCCAAAGTATGATTCATTCTATTACTTTGATAATTAAAAGTAAAAAGTTACACATAATGACTTAATTGTGCCATTAAAAAGAACTCATAGTGTATTTTATAAAAGAGTTTTATAGGAGGGGTGTTATATCAATTTTATATATATCTGATAAGGATGTTGACTTCTCTATTCGTGTACCTGTTGTTTATTAATACTAGAAGGCTTTGTAACGTACGATTATGTTACGTTTTAGGGTAAATTAGATACAAAATGTTTAGTGGGTTTCATATTTAGTAGTCATAGTTATAGCAGTCGGTTGTTAGCAGTGTCGTAGACGTTGAGACGAAGCTTGGAGCTGAGTAAGGCAGGAGTCGCAGAGCTCTATGAGGGATGGCCATTTTCTAGTGTTTTGTATGTTCGATCTGTACACCAATTGATTGAGAGTTGTGAGGCGGGACCAAAGAACCAAAGCTCAACCCCCGCTGTGGGGCTAGATTTCAATTGAGTAGATCGAGGCTCTGGGGCCACCAGATGTGGGAGCGGGACGTCTCATCTTGGAGTAATTTTTCTAACAATGCGTTGGTGCTGTAGTCTGATGCTTAGTGGTTGTATGTTCAGTTCATGGAGCTCCTGGACTCTCTGATCATATGATGGACGGTGTTTTGCTGCTCTCCTTGCGCACTGTTTTGCACTACTTGTAGTTTTTGCATGTTAGTTTTCTTTAAGGTGCGTGTAGTGGTATTGGGGATATTCTAGATGCGGCCGGACTAGAGCCTTATATAAGTGTAGCTATATGTTTGTACTGAGGCTTTGGAATTTCCTCAGTTTTCCTAAGGCTGCTTTGTATTTATTTAGTCTGTCTACCTGATTTCTTATCCCTGTTCTACTGATCCAGTCCCAGTATTCTGCCTACCTTCACATATTGGATCGGGCGGTTGTCAAGCATAATGTTTCTTTTCGCAATATGTATTATCTGTTACTTTTGTTTATTTGTGCTAATTTTCCATTGCGTCTCAAAGTTGTTTATGAATTTAATTGCTGCCTTGATCTTGTTGGCTAGTAGCGGCTTTGATGATCCATGCTGGCATATTATTTGGGTGACATCGTCAGCGTATGTGATGTATTCTCCATGCTTGGGTTGGGGTAGGTCAGCTGTATAGATGTTGAATAGAGTGGGGGAGAGGCAGCTTCCTTGCGGTACTCCACTTTTCAGTTCTATGATGTCACCCAAGTTATACCGATATTGAGGCTAGCAGATATGTTGTCTAAAACGTAAGTAATTATCAGAAGGCACCAAGCCGGGGAGGCTATGCTACTGTCTATAAAGCTGCAGAACGAAGCAGTAAATCTCCGTGGGAGTCATAGCTTAGATGTCTTATGTTTTAGGCTTGTGTGCCAAACTTTGTCGAAGGCTTCCGAAACGTCTTTAAGGACTATATTACACTGATCTTTTTTTCGACATTGCATTGCCTATGGGCCCCTCTGGGATTTCTAAACCCATGTTGCCTGGTGTTATACTTCTCTTCCTCTGCCATGTACTTCACAAGTCTCTGATTATTTTTGTCGAATATGGTACTTGGTTCTGCAACCGGTTACCACTGTTTGCAATAACGTAGACATTCTATTTGACTTATATTAGGCACGCCAGTTTTAGTTTAGTTCATTTATTATGCACCCCATACCCATCTTGTGGGCGGTAGTGGAAAGGGTTACAAAGACATATAATGGACTCAGGGACTGAATCCCACAATTCATTTAGCTAAGCAGGTTACAATCTTGATGAGCTTGTTACAAAATTCAGTATAAGTCGTCATATCAACAGCTATCAGCTTATGCATCCGTACATTGAAAAAGTTTAGTGTCGTAGTTGAGAGGTCGTACATCTTTACGAATGTTTTAGCAAGCTTTATTTCTAACGGTGATCCCAGACATCTTTCTTATTACCAATATTTCAACGACTTAAACTTAAAGCTTATTAAATAAAGATTATTAACTTTGAGAGTATTGTTAGTTGTTATTTAAGTGAAAACGCCGGCATAATTAAGTTTGTTAATTGCCGCAGCGGCCCTGCTGAGCGAGTCCCGGCACAGTAGACGACAGCCATGTTAGGAGTTAGGAATATCGGCAAATATTGGGCGCGGTTGCCGACACAGGCAGAGCTGCAGGTCAGTATCTGCTGGAGAGTGTTGTGTGTGTGGCTTACAGGTGTGAAGAAGTAGGTATGGGCGGCAGGTGTGGCTTTATTATAGTGAAAATGAGGTGGCCGTCGGCGTTCTCGTGACGTCATGGTGATCAGCTGTTGTAACCAAAATACTGCAGGAGTTTGTTGGGATTTTGTGATGTTTTGTGTTGTCTGGTGTTTAGCGCCAGTAGGCGGTCAGCAACCATTAATACGCTGTGTTAGCAAGAGACGTGGGGTAGAAGCTGATTTTTTTGTGTCTTTGCGATTAAAACTTGGGCGGGTCTCCATGGTGTCTGGTCCGCCAGCCTGGGGTCAGGTCCAAGGATGTCATAACTTTACTCTACACTGCTCGCTCAGACAAATTGGTTATATTAAATGTTGATTTAAAGTGCATAAATGTTATGTTATTGGTTGGGCAGCTTGTCATGCTAGATTAAGCTTTTTACATCTACTGCATTTTTGTATATATTTAAGTCTGTCGCCTCCATGTGCGCCAGAAAATATTAAATATTATGCTTCATATTTGTGATAGCTAAATGTTCTTTCTTGATTGAGAAAAATAATTTAAAAATCTTGCCATAGTGTTGTCCTGAGTGTATTAACAAAGTCGTAGATTTTTTAGGAGCCATCCATATGTAATGTGATTTGTCTTGAATTCCTGTTAGAATAGAATGTTGTACAGTAAAATAATATTTTATAATATTGTTGGTCAATATGTTTGTCGTGAATTTCTGTATTATATCAGGTTGATTGTTAGCAATGATTATGCTTGAATTATTGAAATGCTGTATGTTCTTTCAGGTTCTACGGTCATCAACCAGATGTAAGTGGCCTAATAGTGTTCTTGTGAAGATGAGCAGCAGTTGTCAGATCTTGTTCCAGGTGTTAAAGTAAGATATTTAAAGGCAACTGTTCTGATGTAGAACAAGGGAAAATATTATAGGTAGCTCATGTTATGTTATTTATAATAGTTGAAATATTGTTAGTGCTGAACTGCACATTTCATAATGTGTCACAGCTTGTCTGTGGCACATTATGAAATTAATCGCTCTCCCCCCATGGTCTACAATTCGGTCAGTACACTTGATCATGTTGAATCTGTCTCTAAGCAACTTTAGGACTTACCTTGCTGGTAAGTTTCCATTCACTCTTGCTTCAGAGTTCCCTCATTTCATCAATAATTAATATGCAAATGATTTTACAATTCAACTTAGGTAATGTAAATGACAGATGTTAAGTTGTATTACTGGCCTCCTTTGTGAAGTGATTCTGCTATATTGGTCATGGAGCAGAAACGCTTGTGTAAATGGAGGGCCCAATCGGAATGAGGCTTAATGCTCTATGGCCGACAATTGCTGATTCCAAGACAAAGTGGTCTAGGCTATGAATTAGTCAATAGAAGCAAAGCATTCTTGCAAGCTTCCATTTGATTGGCAATCACAAAATAAACACAATCATAATCTCGCTAGTGTCACTTTGTAGCAGAGTAAATGGTTGAAATAAACTGACCCCACTCTCTGCCTCTGGCCAAATTTACACACCTAGAACCATTCAAGGTGGCTGCTTTGCAGATCTCTCATGATAGTATCACCCAGGTGTTGTTTTCTGTAATTAAGGAACCCATTATCACAATAGCTATTGTGCAATAATTGAGCTTTGCTCAACCTAGCGCTGTGATTAGACACCCAACAAATGGTTTATCCAGGGATTTATTAATTTAAGTCCAGTGGACTCTGGGGTCCACACTGGCACTCGGTGTGAAATGTGTTAAAAGTCAGCTGTGAAACTCCCTCTCACAATTTGTATTGAATAAAAAAAGTTGTCAGGGAGCTGGCAGCCATTGCATATACAGTATACACATTAGGCTTATATTGAGGTCCCTCCAATGTCGAATTGCTGACCTTTTCCAGGATACAATCTCGCAACAAACTGACTAAATTCTGTGCACCTATTTACTGCTAGGTGTAGGTGATAGGAAACATGTCCAGCCATTTCTGACCGCTCTGGGATTCGAACCTGGAATTCTCGATTGCAAATCAAAAATGAACTTAGCTGTACTACCAGGACTAAATTTGAAAAATGTGAAACCACTGTAAGTGGATTTATTTGTTTATCTTTAACCTCAGGCCAGGCTACAAGAGTTTAAAATTATTCAACCTAAAGAACAGGCAATCCATAGGTTTAATTTTGCAGTTGTATATTCTTATAGTTCTGTATTAACATAAATGTATTTGTTGCTTCGGTACTGGATGAAGTGTTTGGTCATGATTAAGTAAAGTTTATAGCCATAGCTGCTGACTTCTGGCCAAATGGGTGACCAATATACACAATCATCCTTGTTGTTGTTCCATCCAGACTTACCAGATGTGTAGTTAGTAACATAAAGAAGTATTTGTGTTATAGCCAGTGCCATGTATGTCTTCTTCTGTTTATAGGCGTATCTTCTTGGAAATATCACCGGGTCCCTTCCTTAGCCTGCACTTTTCAGTAAGTATGTCATTGCTTGTGATTCAAAATTTTCTCTTATTGATATAATGCAGAATTTCATGTACAATCCTGTATATTATGTACTGTAGAAGGTGTAAAGAATGTTGTGTAGCAAAGATTTTTCTTGCTTTTATGGTTTTAATTGAGCAAGAAACTGATAATCATAGATATTTCAGCACTGCTTTGTAATTTATGATGAGAGTTTGAGGGATGTGTGCAATATTTTTATTGTTCAGATTGCGGTAATGGCTAATGTTTGTGCAGGAAAATTGTAAATTAAACAAAACTGCTTAGCCCCATTTTTTTATGTAAACAAAAATGATGAGCTTATCATTTTTGTGATAAGCTTCTGCATAAGACTGATAATAAGATAATAAGCTTCTGATAGGACTGTGCTTCTGTAAGCACAGTCAAATTTCTTTAAAACTAAATTTTTGGTTTAAATATTCTTTTGAAATTACATAAATATTTATGCATTTAACCCTATCATTGCTAAAAGTATTTCACATGGTTCTGCAGGATTGTATTGTATTTGCAGAAAGTTATCCAAGTTGCAATTACTATAAAACACTTTTCCACATTATGTAATGATTGCTCAGATGTGCCAAAAATAAAAACAAATTTGGATATGGTTGTTTGGAAGAAAATGTGAGTGCATTCCTTTGGTCAAAAAGGCAGCATAGTTACTCCTTCACCCGTCCTTTCTTCCCATCCCTTCCACATTTACACATTGCACATATTTGTGGAATTGACATTCTAGGTGTTAGTTGTTTATTTTGTTAAATCGGTCGTTAATTTTGAGTGTGAACATTTTATTGGTCTTCATTACTCGTCACCATTAAAAATATGGACGTATCTATTTCTTGGTAATATATAGATGATGAGAATGCAACAGAAATCTTATAAAAAATTTAATGTGCTTCACAGTTTATATGGAAAGTGCTTGTTTTTCTTAATAATGAAGTAAAAATTAGAGAACCAATAATACCACCCTTCTATTTTTTGTAGAATATCTTCTGTATATACATATGATATTCTGATTAAGGAACACATACAGCCCAAGTGTAGAGTTTTGGCACATGTTTTCTTGTATAATGGAGCCATTTTTTTCAATTAAATTTTTTAGATGAGCTGTTTTAATAGATGGAATGAGCAATTTTTCTTTTACTACGTATAAAATAAAAGAATATGAAACTAAAATATTTATTACCAGTTTTTCTAAACTCTGGAAACACAACCTTCACAGTAAAATTGTAAAGTTTATAATAAGCGAACAGTGTTACATCATTTACAGTACTGTACTGTACTAGTATTGGCATCAGAACACGTACAGAACTCAATCGTTGCGCTCATTAAATAATTAACAAAAATGTTTTTCTTTAGCATCAGTATGCATTGAATCATCTTGCACAGAAGCCATAATTTGCAGTACAGTTTTGAGGAATTGTGAACTCCTGTGTTTACTTGATAAACGTTGTTGGCTTTCTTGCCATTGTGATTTTATTTCTAGATTCATGTCCACAGATGCAGCCATCAGTATGAGCAACAGATCAAAGATGTTAGACATTTCCACACATCATCTGCATTTTGTAAGCACTACTGTAGTATAGTTTACCATTTTATTGTGCATATTGTATAATTTTATTGTTGGAAATATTTTGTTTGATAGTATGGCAAATTATTTTTGATACCTCATGGAATAGGGTGTAGATATGATGTTTTTTGTTGTTGAGAGAACATTTTAGAGAAAAAGAAAGCACTTTATGCTATACTCATGAACTGGGAAAAGTACAGTGTTGTATACTAAGTCGCATATATGTTTTCTGACGCATATATGCTTGGGGACCATTCAAGCTTGTTCGCAGTATTGTAAACTGTATATATAACAAGGAAAAGGGCTTTGAAAGGATCTAGAGTTGATATAATGCTTCTGTATGTTGTCAAGTTTATAAAATAGAGATACTATAGCAATTTATTTGTGGTTATTAGTCTGAGTAATGTTAGCAGTGATTGGTGTAAAATAAAAAACATAATTGGTGGAAGGATGTGTTATTTTACTGAAGATTGGTTAATGTCTTAATTTTATACATGAACAGTGAAGGGGAATACTAATAACTTGTGTATTAGATGATATTTTGCTGCATTAATGAGACCAGCTGTACTGAATTGTGTGTGTGTGTGTGTGTGTGTGTGTGTGTGTGTGAGAGAGAGAGAGAGAGCATGAGAGAAAGAGCATGTGTGAGAGAGAGCATGAGCATCAACTTGCAAAAGTCCTTTAAAAATAAAAATAAAAATGTTTCAGTGTGTGTGGTTTGGATTATTGCATTGAGTAGGACCCATTTTGGTGTTAGATTGTATGGAGAAGATATGAAAGCTATTGATGTCTTGTACATGTAAGAGTAGTGTGACTTGGATGTGCTGTGCGAGCAAAAAAAAAAAAATTACTGTAGAGGTTTGGCTATAAATTTTGTCGACTTTATTCTTTGTCGTAAATTACTTTTTGAACTTGTGGATTACTGTACTGTGGTGCTGATAAGCTACCTAGGAATGATTGTGTGAGACATTTTAGTGATAGAAATGGAATTGCAAAATAAAAGCTAAATTAAGTTGATTTCTGTTTTTAAGTTTTAATTTTCATGTCTAGTTGGTGAGGTGAAGGTGGTGCAAGTACCGCCCTTTGCAGAGTCGATCACAGAGGGGGACATCAGGTGGATTAAAGAAGTGGGTGACAGTGTTAGCGAGGATGAACCTGTGGCAGAAATTGAAACAGACAAGGTGGGTAATTGTGATGGTTCAGATAATTTGAATTTGTAACATCTATATCACCCAATTTTGGCTGGATTTCAGAACTTGGTGCAATATCGTGATGTATTTCTTCTATTGACCGAATCGGTGAAGGGTATTTATGGCACCTTGAGTAATATTGTCATCAGTATTTGCTTGCTAATACTAGTGTTGCAGTTAACTATGATGGACTTATAATAAATGATTATTCAGATTGACCACTTTCTCATTGGTAGTTGGCCTGAATAAAGCAGTCCGGATATTTTGTTTGTCCAAAGTCAGATTATTTCACCCAGTCCTTGCATAAAGTCCAAGTGTGTAACCAGATATCCTGATGCATGATAAGGTTACACCAAAGGAAAGTACAGCTGATGTAAACGTAGTACTTGAATTTTTTTGTTTAAACCTTTATGCTCATCTTTTATTCGTTTCTACAAAAACTGTTGTTTATGGAAGAGGTGTTTTAATAGGGTTTTTGTGTGTGGGGTGTGTGTGTGTGTGTACATGTAAGTTTATATTGATATTTTATTTCAGACATCCATGCCAGTGAACTCTCCTTGTGCTGGTGTTATTAAAGAAATTTTAGTTGAGGATGGTTCAACAGTTACTGCTGGACAACATATATGTAAGATAGAGGCTGGGGCTGTGGGGGCTGCTCCTTCCAAGAAGGAGGAAGCCCCTGCTGTTGAGGCCCCTGCTGCTGCTGTTGCTGCAGCTGCAACAATTGCAGCAAAAGCTCCTCCACCGCCTACTGCTGCAGCTGGGCCAATTCCAAAAACTGTCCCACCAGCTGCTGCACCACCTGCAGCCCCACTGGCTTCAATTCCTGTAGCAGCAATAAAGCATTCATCATTCATCCATCAGGCTGAGGTCAAGGTTAGTGAATCAAAGTTCTATGTGCTCTAATTCCTTCTACAGTATTTTTTCCTACTTTTTTACTTGCCATTCTTAACTTGTCATGATTGTTGGCATTTATTATACATTTTTATTTCCTGAAAGATTTGGGGATAGCAAAAGTAAATTCCTCCACCTTGCATGTATGTGTTGTAAATGACTGGAAGGGTGGACTGAGGGTAGAGGTGCTGCCTGCGTTAATAATTATTGTCACTGCCCGTTTTCCCACTTTCATGGGATGCAGATGCATTTGTTCAAAGAAAATGTGTCATACCTCTAGGCATCCCTGACCTGTACTAGTGTGAAGTAGATTTTTGTCTAAGAATTTATGCAATGTGAGGTGGTAGAGGGGACCAAGTTAAATACTTGCAATGGTTTGGATGTTTGGAGAGGATTGCTGATGCTTAGTTTGTAAAGAAATTTCACAAGAGTGAAGTACTGAAGATAAAGTCCCCAGGCAAACTCTCTAAGCAACCCTACCAAAAGGTGTAGCCTTCTCTAGACTCAGGCTATGCCATTCTGAATTTGTGGTATTTATCCTGGTTATAATCTAATATCTTTTTCTATAAGAAAGTTAGTCTACCAGTAACTAGATATAGGTATATTATTTTCCCACATTGTATGAACTACTGTTAACAAAATTTGATTACTTAGATTTTGCTGATTCTTCAGAATTGACTTTGTGCCATTTCAATCGTTCTAATAATTCCAAAACAAATCTTATTTAGGAGATGTAAATGAGGGGGAAGGGATTAGATTAGGTGTGTGCACGAAAGGAAGTGTTCCTAGGTAGTTTCAAGTTCGTTATCTGTCCAACAAGTACATTCAGTATATTTGTATGTGAAGCGGTATGTACCACTCATGAGAGATGGTATGTTTTGTGTGGTTTTGTTAATGTATTTTTTTTCTCTGGTTAGTCTAGGTCTTCCTTGCTTTCTTGTTTTGTAATTGTCCATAAGTATTGTTTGCTCACTGTCTTTGTACATGAATAATCTTTGAAATGTTTGTTAGTATTTTCTAAGTTTGTGGCGCTGTATAGCATGATAAATTTTGAGCTTAGTTCTTTATTTAGATATCTCCATTGTGCAGGTGCCACCAGCGGACTACAGCAAAGAAATCAGTGGGACTCGTACAGAACAACGTGTAAAAATGTCACGAATGCGACTACGAATTGCCCAGCGACTCAAGGAAGCACAAAACACTAATGCAATGTTAACTACCTTCAATGAACTAGATATGAGGCAAGTTGGATGAGTCTTGTTCTATATAATTGTATTTTTCTATTTTTCTTGAATGCAGGGATATGAAATGCTGACCAAGTAATGACAATTTTTTGCGAGTATAAATTTTTATTGGAGATTAAAATTTGTCTTGTACTCTTCTAGCAACATCATGGAACTTCGGAAGAGCATTGGGGACCAATTTTTGAAGAAACACGGAATAAAGTTGGGCTTTATGTCAGCATTTGTTAAAGCCTGTGCATATGCTCTTACTCAGCAACCCAATGTTAATGCTGTCATAGATGGAAGCGAGATTGTTTACAGGGATTATGTGGATATTTCTGTTGCTGTTGCTACACCAAAGGTAAATTGTAATTATCTGCTCTCCTTAATAACATTTAGAACTTTGTGGCCAAATAGTAGTTCTCTTCATCTTAACAATTATTGCTGGTCAGATTAGCTTACACCGAGGTACCCGAGAGAAATTGACTACTAGAGACAGGGAACCATAAACAAACGAGGCACAATACAAGTAGTGCAGTTGACTCTTCTGATAAACCAGTCCACCGCCTGGTGGCAGATGGGAGATGTTCCCGGGGATTGCTTGTTTGGCAATTACTGTATCAGAATTGTCTTTGCTCGGTAACTTTCTTAAACTTTTCTTGAAGGGGTTTTGACAGTATTGTACTTATAAGCCCTTGTTCATGCTAGGTAGTTTCATGGTTAACCAGTACAAGTTAGTCTGATCAGTAATAACAAGTGTTTAAACTGAGGGGAGCTCTCTCTGAGCTACCCTTTCTGAAGAGGTACACCCGTGTAGTACAGTACTTTAGAATAATGTCTTTGCAATAAGTGTTCCCGAGATCTGACCTGCTTCCCTCCAAGGTGAACGAGGCAGGAGATTGTTGTCAGAGCACCACGTCTATATGTTTTGCGATCTTTTACTTTAAATTCTGTAAGTTGAAATTGGTCATGGTGGTCCCAGATCTATTTAAGATATAGGACTGTATCGCCTTTATTAAACCTTAAATGTCTGGAATGGTTCTGCCTCGCTCTCCTTGTATGTGCAAAAAACAAAATTAAAAATATTTTTATTTCTTTTGAAATTTAAGAACTACTTTCTGAAGCTAATAAAACAGTGAAGTACCTAATTTCATCCATCTTGTATCCCACCTTTTGCTATTAACTCATAGTATTTTACTATCTAGAAATGCAACTACAATATAATTTGTTTTATCACCACTTTATAGTGATAATCCGTAGTAATTTATGTGAATCCAAATTGTTACTACATGCCTATTATTACAATTTTTTTTATTCAGTATACTTTCTATTTTCTTCACCTTCGAGTTTTTATTTCACTACAAACTGTATTTATTTTCAGGACTTTGCCCAAAATGTTATGCACGTTAGTGGCTTTGCAAGAATGCACCACTTAAACTATAACGTATGTACTTTCACAACCCGTATTTCAGCATAGTGTGTTTTCTAGGGCCTCGTTGTACCAGTTTTGCGTAATGTAGAGGGGATGAACTACCTGGATGTTGAAAAGGGCATTATGGAATTGGGTGAAAAAGCTCGCACTGGATCACTGGCAGTGGAAGACATGGATGGTGGAACCTTCACTATTAGCAACGGAGGAGTATTTGGTTCCCTGTTTGGAACCCCTATTATCAATCCACCTCAGTCGGCCATTCTGGGGATGCATGGTATATTTGATCGGCCAGTAGCAAGGAATGGACAGGTGAGGATTTAAAAAAAATTTTTTAAGGGTTAAACATTCTTAATAGTTTCTACAATGTAACTTGCTTCATGTATGAAATTGGGCAAAGTTTTGTTTAAGTGGTCTCTGGTTTACTTAATGTTCCAGTAGCTGAAGAGCCCTTCATTTGGTGTGCTCTTTCTGTTGGATTACTTTTTAAATATTAATATAAAGCTTGAGGGGTTCCTTGAGGGAGGGGTGGCTAAATATAAAATTTATCTTAAATTTATAAATTACTGTATTTTAAAAGACCTTAATAATAATTGTCAGAGATTACATTATATGTTGGGTATTGTAAGAGTGGAGCAGTGTTTCCTTGCTTGCACTGTAAAATAACAATGTGCACTAATTAAATCGTATGTAGTGTTTTGTAGTACAAGAAAACAGACGTGTGTATATTTATTTGAGACAAGTTGAACATGTTTGAAATGCTGTTCATTTGTTAATTATTTCATGATAAAATGTTTATATTCTCTCACCAGGTGGTCATCAAGCCTATGATGTACATCGCATTGACATATGATCACCGACTCATTGATGGCAGGGAGGCAGTTACCTTCTTGAGGAAGATCAAGCAAGCTGTGGAAGACCCCAGGATCATGCTCTGTGGACTTTAGACAACCACTTGTGTTAAAGCTTGTCAGTAACAAGTCATATCATTGGTTAGTCTTGGCTTCATGTAATGAATTAATATTTATAATGTGTTTGCAAATTAGTGCAGTTCTTAATGTTAAATATTGCAAAATTTATATGAAAAAAACAGCAGTTTTTATGTCTAATACGCTAAATTAATTGGACAAATAAATGCTTATCCGTGTTAAGTTTTTTCAAGAAATTATGGAATCAAATGCTACTCTTAGCTTTATTTTGTGTATAATTTATGATTTGAAGCTGGTTCTCGATATATTAAGATGACTGATTGTAGCATATCTTGTATATACGTGTAATATATACCTTGACATTTGTTATCGGTAGAGTAACTGGTGAAACATGGCGTCCTTCCCTCCCTCTGATGGTTTGTACCTGTTGTCCACCTGTCCTAAGTTATCACTAGCTGCTGGTAACTACACACAATACTACATGTAATAATAAATCACTTTGCCAGTATACGACTATTTATTTTCCAAAAGATCTTTATGGCTTGTTTTTTTTTTTATATATAAACCTTGTGTATTATAATTACATTAATTATGCACAAATTGGATGCATAAAAATATGGTTTTTAGTAGGGTGTGTGTGTGTGTGTGTACTATTTTGTGTCTGCAGAATCGAGCTATTAGCTCTTGGACACTCATCTTTCTAACCATTCTATTTTTTCTCTATTATATCTACTACATATATTTCTTACACATGCACACACACACACGCGTTATATAACAGTGCTGGGAAGACGGGACACCACAAGCGTAGCTCTCATCCTGTAACAGTTGATTTGACAGTTAAGAGGCAGGCCGAAAGAGCAGAGCTCAACCTCCACAAGCACAACTACTGTAGGTGAATACACACAGTCGTGTGGTCTAGTGGTTAAAGAACCAGGTACGCCATGATGTATAGTGCTGCTGGCTGTCTGGGTTTGAATCCTTCTGGGGTGTATAGTTGGGAGGTCCAGAGCTAGCGTTGGATGAATCATGATCATAGAAAAGCATGAAGATTAGAAATCAGACCCCGTTAGTAACTACGACTTCCCTTGGTGCAAAGACATGCCACTAGTGACTCCCAGAACTGAAGAACAAGAGCTACGAGGAGAGGTTAGTGGCATTAAATATGCAAAAACTAGAAGATAGAAGAAAAAAAAGAGGCAATATGATCACTAAGCACAAAATATTAACAGGAATCGATAAAATTGATAGGGAAGAATTCATGAGACCCGGAACTTCAAGAACAAGAGGTCATAGATTTAAACTAACGAAACAATGCTGCCGGAGAAAATTCACTTTTGTAAACAGAGTGGTAGCCGGAACAAGTTACGAGAGAGGCTGGTGGAGACCAAAACCGTCGGTAATTTCAAAGTGTTATGACAGAGTGCTGGGAAGACGGGACACCATGAGCATAGTTCTCATCCTGTAACTACACTTAGGTAATTACACAGATCTGGAAAAAGTGCAGAGGTATGCCACTAGGCTAGTCCAAAAATTAAGAGGCATGTGTTATGAGGAAAGGCTGCGTGAAATGCACCTCACGTCGCTAGAAGACAGGAGATCTCGGGAAGACATGATCACTAACTACAAAATTCTAAGAAGAATCGACAGGGTAGATAAAGATAAATTGTTTAACGGGTGGTATGCAAATGAGTAGTACCCAAAGTGTGCCCAAATGTACCCAAATGAGCCACATTGATGTTAGAAAGAACGTTTTCAGTGTCAGTAGTTAACAGATGGAATGCATTAGGCAGTGATGTAGTGGAGGAAGACCCATACACAGTTTCAAATGTAGATATAATAGAGCCCAGTAGGCTCAGGAATCTGTACACCAGTTGATTGACAGTTGAGAGGCGGGACCAAAGAGCCAAAGCTTAACCCCCGCAAGCACAATTAGGTGAGTACCAGTTGATTGACAGTTGAGGTGGGACCAAAGAGCCAGAGCTCAACCCCCACAAGTACAACTAGGTGAGTACAACTAGATGAGTGTACACATCCCCAGCCTGTAGCAGCCATCTAAGTCCCAGGTACTTATTTGCTGCTAGGTGAACAAGTGCATCAGGGTGAAAGAAACTGCCCATTTGCCCATGATATTCATATGTATAAATTGTAATCTACACTTCTGTGTAAAAAAACATTTAGCAATATAACGGGTCTTGGCAGCCCAGTACTTATTGTCCCCAGATCTTGTGTGTGGGGCCTCTCTCGACCAGCTGACTCTGTCTTGATTACCTGAGGCCTCTACTCCCTAGTAAGTCCTTGTCTTTCTTCTCTGGGAAGTTAGCTTTAGGGAGCCATAAGGGTATTTCCAGGTTTGACAGTTGATGGGTGTTCTCTTCATGTGTGTTTCAGATCTGGTTTGGAAGGTTGGAGGGAGACCTGAAGCTTTTGGGCACCACTTCCCATACTGTACTGGCTGGGAGATTGGTGTTAAATCTCGTGCATGACTTCACGAGATATGATCATTTGTTTACATTGGGAAGTTCGTTTGGAAGTTTTGAGACTTTGGTCTCTTTGAGCCCATCAGTGGTTTGTATTGGTTTGCTGACTACACAGATCCTTTCCCAGTGGGGTGGCAATGTCTCACCCACCCACTCTTTGCACCTCTGTGAGGGGTGGGGTTAGCACTGGTGCCCGGTAGGCTAAACAACTCTGGGTGATGTGACCTAGTAATTGGGAGCCATCTTGGCGAGATAGCTTCAAGGGATCAGAAGGGGCTCCCCCAAGAAAGTAACAGTTTAGTGGAACTACTTTTGCAAAACTATATGGACCAGAGCAGACTAGCATGAGTTTTTCTTGGAAGGGCCCTTCATGTAGTTTCCCAATTGGCTCTGGGTACTACTGAGGAACCTGCCAGATAAGGGCATGTGATTACTTTCAACACAGTTTATTTTTATCACTTGGTGACTACAGGTTTTAGCGTCAAAATATCTTTATTTTTCATAAAAGAAATTTTTTAAATAAAAATATTTATTAATAGATATACATTTTACAACATACACAAGTCATAATTAAAGGGGGAAAACAAAGAAAAATGATTACAATATTGTGTTCAATCCCATCAAATTAATTTAAGAGATACCATACCTCCTCCAGGCCTTTAGGTATCTGACAATGTAGTTTGAGTTCCTACTGTTATCTTGTGTGAATGATATCTTAAACTGCTCCTTGGTGCTAGTGAGCGTCCCTATATAGAGTTTTTTGGACTTGTTGATATGATGCACTACAGTGAAGTCATGCTGTCGGGCACCAGATACTGCCTTCTCTTGTCTAGCATTTTCTCTCTGCGCTAATCAAACCAGGCTGACTTGTGGAGATCTTAACAAGCAGCAGGGAGGGACAACTGAGCATTATGCAAGTAATTTGAAAATCAGATCTAGCACAACACCACTTGTGGCTGTGGACTGGCAGGCGCTTACTGTTAATACATTATAAATTGTTGCATACTGGCCAGTTGGCAAATTGTAGATACAATATGCTATACATACTGATATACGTGTGTGTATATAATTTATTCATTATGCAACATATAAAACATTATTATTAGCAAGAAAGTGACATTATCATGGTGTATATTAAGTGGTATAACCTTGCTTTTATAATACATATACAGTATAAAGTTTATAGTAATATTGAACCCGAAGATTACTGACGATGACAAACAGAGACTACTAAACAAACAGTGCACTCGTGCATGTCAACGTATGTTTGGAGCATTACTCTAGACTCTCATGATAAATGTTATCAGTTATTTATTACTACTATATTCTATACAAATAGTTAACATTTTCATAACAAAAATTCCAACATATATGATATTTTAACATTGCTTTGCTTATTAAGTTGAACAAGAATTTAAAATTATGATACTGTAATTTAAATGAAAATAAATGGATTTATATTTTCATAACATTTTAACCTAACTGTGATCAAAGTAAATAATGTATATATAAATTATTAATTGACAAAGAATGTAAAATTTGCTTGAAAAATTTCCCTATTAAATATGGATGGATAAAATGATGAATCCTTAATAAACTAATACAATATGTATATACAGTACTGTATATCAACACTGTATTACACTATTTCCATGGCAAAGATATTTTTACAGTGGGAAAATTATTTAAATAATTTCTAGAATTGCAATAGTACTTGGTCAATTGCCAACTCTCACCACCACAAAACTACAATACCTTTTCCTTGGTTATATCTGATATATATTGTGCTATATACAATATAGATTTGTATAAACTCATAACATTTTTAGATACTGTACATTATACTACACCTTTTTTATGGGTTTAATCTTTGATTACAGGGATTGATAGATAAATTATTTGGCACTATAATTGTATGTGGGAAGTTGCAGTGCTCTAGGGGGTTAAATGTGAAATGGTATCCAATCACACTGAATGTCTCAGAAATCCCATGTAACAATGACACGGTATTAGCTTTATATTTTGTATACAGCCTAACTTGCAATTTTTCCAAAACCTTCAACAATATTTCACAATACTGAATATATTAAACTCTTAACATTTTCTTACATACAGTACTATATAGGAATTCAGTACAGTACTTTGTACAAAAGTTATTTTATATTGTTTCTGAATAGGGTATGAAAATAATTACCCATAACTCAGGATTTCAAAACTGAGAATTAATAAGCTACTAAATTTGTTGTTGGCTTAAACTTAATATCGGGTACTGTACTGATTCATATGTGCTGGTAATTTCATCTACACTGGTGGACCCCAGTGGCTCCCTGCCCCTGCCATCTTCTTCTTTCCAATTGGTTTACTGGGTTTAACATGGCCAAATTGAAAGGACAAACTGACCTAGGCTGCCATCTGGTGGTAGTTGGACACATCGCAACCAGGGTACAGTATACATAAACAATTGTTTACTGAGGGATGCCAAATTTACTTCACACAGTTGCCTGTGTTGCACCTATGCTTTCATAGGGTTCTCTTCACTTTCAGATGTGTGATTTGGTCATCATACATTCAGCCATGTTATTGTGACTCATCATCTGCATGGGTTTTCTCTGATCTACCAAGGGCTAATCAGAAAGGAAAGATTCATTAAGTTCAATACTTCATTTTTGTATCTAAATTAGTGTATCTTCATCCCTTTCTGCTACAAGCAAAGATTGTTCTGAAGGAGTACGGTGTTCAAAACGTTTCAATAAGGAAGTTAATTCTCCAGGTGTTAGATTCTCTCCTGACCTTATTTCTGATTGTACTTCCCAGACATGTCGTGTTGTAGTCACCCCCTCATGGCTGCGTTCTGGCACTCCCATTTCTTCACATTCAAACCTTGACATACTACTACCATCTGGTTTTGTCCACACACGCTGTTCCTTTGCTTCTCCTTCAGCCCATGAGTGTCTCCAAACAGTGGGGTGGGTGTGGTGGCTTGAACGAGGGGAGTGTGCTGCTGGAGTTGGTGGCATATAGTGAGTAGTGTGGGAAGACTGTCCAGGGGTATGCATGTAACTTTCATGCTCGGGAGCAGTCGTGAAATGGTGAGGGAGATGCTGGACAGTTTGGGCTGAGCGACCAGGATGGGAAATAAGCATAGAGTGGTCAGGATGAGGTGAATGGCTCTGGCAGATTGTTTTGCTAATTTGGATAGGTGGAACAGCACGGGCTGACTGAATAGGCGGGACATCCTGAACATGTTGGATATATTGTGGGGCATGAGCTGCATGTGTAGCCTGCAAAGAGGAGACAGACTGTACTCCATGACTTGGGCATGTTGACTGCATTGACTCTACATGACTTGAATAGGCATGTGTCTGGTTTACTTTATGAGGAGAATGAAAAGTATGGATGTGATGTACTGTGCGACCTACATTAGCAGACTCTTTAGACTGAGTAGAAAAACTAGCATGGGCATACTGATCAGAGCGCACAGCATGCTGAGCACAAGAGGACTGGACTACTGGTTGGGCTGACCGAGAAGAATGAGACACTTGGTCATATGATGTTGCAGGAATACTATTTAGATGGGAGGGATGGGGGAAGGGGAGGGCTTGTGCTGTGTGGGCAGACTGATAATGCCCAGTATGGGCTATATATGAAAGATCTGAAAAGTGGACAGAATGGTGTGCGTGTTGAGCACAGTGGGATAAGTGAGCATCATTTGAGATGTTAGTACCATGGATTGACTGAGGATCATTCGAGCTGTAAGTATCATATGTTGAGTGAGGAACATGAGGAATGTAAGTACCATGGGTTGACTGAGGAATATGAGAAATATGAGTGCCATGGGTTGAATGAGGAGCATTCAAAATATGAGTACTATGGGTTGAGGTAGGAGCATGTGAGAAATGAGTACTGTGGGTAGAAGGTGAGTATGAGGTATGAATGGATTGGGGTGTGCGACTTGCATGAGCTGCGTGAGGAGGGGCAATAACAGATGATTGTGAGAGCTGGGCATGAGAAACACGAGATGAATGAGGATACTGGGAGTACTGGTTCTGACGTTGTGAAGCGTGAACTGTAGTGCCTAGTTGGTGGGAATCTTGCATTTGAGCACTTTTTTTCTCATTAGAAGGTTCAGATCTTCGGGAAGCTGGTGATGGTACAGATGGAGTTTGGACTTTTGGGCTAGCCGTTCTAACTTCCTCAACCTGTGGAGGTATTGTTAATTTTATGTTTGAGGAAAAAACAGCAGATCATATATAAATATGTACTATTACAGTATCATGTACAGTATAAATAAAAATATAAAGACTTTACATCAAACTGGTCATGAATGGACAGCAAATCAAAATTGTGCTAAATATTAGTGCAAAGGGAAGGTGAAAATACATATGTGAGTATGTGGAGGAAAACACTAAATGACTGTAAACAGGCTTATGAACAACAAGAGCATTCACAACTTAAGTACTTTATGGCATAAGAGAGACAGTCGGTGAATAATATTATGGAATAACAAGATCACTCAGTATAAAGAAACACCTCAGTCTGGCCCATTTCATTACATTTGTTACGGACTCGTTACCACCGTCCGAGTGTGGCCTGGTAATTCCAGTGCCATCTAAGAGTCTGCACTCAAACTCCCCTGGTATTGGATGCTACGTGGACAACGCCATCTACTGGTGGTGGTGTGACGTCGGCAAATGGCTCTGGTTTCCTGCCTTGGTCAGACAGAGAGGTCGTTGTGGGTGACCTCTGGTGGTGGGCGTATCAAGATCAGCATTCTGCTACGAGCATAATGTCAACTCCCCAGTGAGTGTTACCTCTTAGTTTCCCCAGTGTACCGTCCATTTAACTGATGACGTGTTTGTGTCCACAAAAGTGACATGGGGCAGCAGTTGTACTGGAGAATGCAGTTTACCTTGGGCAATCCACATACTCTCAGCTTGGTCCTGGAAGACGACCACGTAAGCCGCCGCCGATCATAGCAGTGTGTTAGCTGCTGATTTACGCAGTGTTGATAAAGATCAGCGTACCCGGGAATTGGCTTAGGAGAGTAACGGATGTTAGTGAGGTGCCTGTAGTAAAGTGCTGCTAGCCGGTCGCTAGATGCTTCTGCCAGGAGTTAACTACCCCTGTATATGATTGTTGGAGTCTTCCGATCAGCGTGTGGCTGAAGTCCTCTGCCAGCGTGTGGCTGGAGAGCGATAGTGGGGTATAGGCACCTCGTGATACTGTGTCGGTGGATTGGCCCACATACAAGGTTAACTCGCCAGTATTTCTCAGTATGAGTAGACGAGGTACTGGAAGGTGGAAACACTGGGATTGATGAACACTGCATTGTGTGCATTTTGAGTGTCCTGTGCGAAAGCGACACTATTGTAAATGTGTGCAATCATAGTCTATTTATTCTAAATACATAAGGTGAAGGTGTAAATATATTTATAAAGGGAACTGTGTGTATCCCCTTTCTCTCTATTACACTATATAGCCAATTCTTGAAAGCGTACTACCGACTTGGGGTCGGATACACTAAATGAGGTTTATCCATCAAGAACCTGGTTATTGGTCATTAGTGACCGTAACAACATTCAATACTGAATTTTTCAAGTAATTGATAAAACTGAAAATTGCATAGTTTTAGCAAAAATGAAAGCACCACAACATGGAGGTTTTCTGAGCATCAGCTTTGATATGTTAGGTGGGTTGTTTAGGTTCAAATGTTTATAGTTAAGCAAAACAATTACTGTACATTTTTTACAGAGTCAAATTGTGAGAATGGTGTGACCTCTGAACTTAGTGGCAGATCACCAGCACTTTGTCAACATATTTCAAAGAAAGCTCCTCAAAGCACAGGAGGGATTATAAATGCTGTACAGCACACTATCCTTACCATCATGTGCAACTGCCAAGCATAGGAGCTGAGGTAATGTATTTTTACCAGTTAGAATACACCAACCCTTATGTCCCTTTAATATGTGCCATTCATAGATCTCGTGTTGTCACTGTATAGCTTCACTCCAGATCATATAAAATTAACAAAAAAAGCTTTACGCTGAACAAGCCACAATGTAGGACAAACATGAGATGTTGTTGAGTCATATGGTAATAAACCCATGGAATCATCTCTCTGCTGAAGCTGTAAATACCAAGATATTTCTTTAGTTCAGTTCAAAATACAGCTGGAAAAATATTCAGGTATAGAGGAAGGAACCTTTGACAAGCCATCAGCTCTAGAGACGGTGGCCATCAGGTAAATTTTCGTAAACAGAGGTGGTTTTTAGTACCGAGCGGTGTTATGAAGTGTTATTATTGACCATGCTCTATACATTTCACAGTGCCATTAAATTTCAGGATAAATACTGTATACCAAAAAGTGTGGTTAAAGATACTGTCTTATGAATGCAAACTGTAATTAAAGGTCAGGCAGTATGTATGGTAAAGTGCAAGAAAGTCATCTTGTATGCAAATACTGTAGTGTAGTTAAAGGTTAAGTTCTGTACATTGCAAATTACAGTACATGTGAATAAAACAAAGAACAGCTCACGTTTTTCTCGTTAGCAGCCCCAGGCTCATGGAACCGGGTCTCAACTACTGAAGTCTTTCTTGGCGAGGGCACAACAGGACCAGTCAGTGGCTCCTTGTATTTTCCTGTACGGACCTGAAATTAAAAATAAAATTAGAAAGATGTTTTGTATCAATAACTATAAAGTGAATATAAAATGTTTTGGTCCTATAAAATGTTCCGGTTCTATATAAAATGTTTCGGTCCTACGATGCCATGTATAGCTTTTATGCCTCACTTCCTCTCGGGAGTTTCCCATCAGCGGGTGGCCACAAAAGATGTTTCTTCAAATGGCTCACACTACACAAACCTTCCCCCTCTTTCAAGTTCTATAACTCCTCTTCACAATTACTTTCATATATTGTTCATCTCCTGATTTCACCCTAGCGCATCCTTCTCATTAATGATTATTAATGTTGATACGGTATTGAATTTGTATTGCTCTTACATATTATGCCCACTGGGAATATACCTGTATTCGTTCCCAGGAAAAGAATTATAGGATTTTATGATTTCTTAAATTTGTATATATCTTCACCTCCAATTGTTAGTTATAACTTTTATAATCTAACTACAATACAGTATAACTGTGTTGTATATGCATAATGTAATCTAATTTGAACAATATAGCCTATAATCTAATTATAAGCAGGCCATATAATCTATTTATAAGCAGGCCCTCTAATTATGACTGTTCTGCTACTGAATAATAACTATCTTGTATTCTAATTTGCTACTGAAAATTAACTTACCTGCATCTCAAGGCGTTCAAGCTCCTGAAGACTCATGTCAAAGCCACCAAAACTCTCACGATAGCCAGATATGGTAGACGTTTCCATGTAGCTTATTTCACTTACACTTTCTGGTTCAGGTTGTATAATGCTGGCCCTGTAGGATAATATTTATGTAATTATTGTTATATATAAAAGTAGAGGAAGCATACGGATGCCAGTTGCAGTATGTTCAAAAATACTGCACATTCAAGTCATCCTTCCTTTGATCCTCCTTTCTTGATGATCCTCTACTACTGCAAGCCAACAATCAATATACAGTACTGTACTTTCTAAATATTATCTAAATACTGTAATCTTTGATACAATGAACCTGTACCCAACATTCATTATGTAATGCAACAATTATATATGTGATGTAATTATAACTTGAGCTTGTTAAAACACTTTTAGCATGTTTTGTGGTCAAATGCACTATTCTATAGCAGTTTTCTTGTCTGCATTGCCTTGTCAATGTAGCATAGAGGAAAATATATAAATGACAATCCTAATTTTAATTGGCTATTGTAAAAGCATTTCAAGTACATTCTGTAATTAAAAGATGTTTTTCATTACATTCATCAATGGATATTTGTAGCTATATTTGTCTAATTTTAGTCCTGGCCAAGGGGCTTCTCTCCACCATACATGTCTTATGTTTGGACAAGGTTAGTTTGGATTCGCCTGGAATTCCTGCCTTGACTCTCAGGCTTCCTATCATACTTTACTAAGTTCTAGTAACCTGGTTTGAGCTATTGCAAAAAAGCTCCTTTCTGAGCTATATTATTCTCCTTTTCCATATTCCTTTTTATTCTCTATAAAGAATGTAGGTTTTTTGTTAGTCATGTTAAACATGAGTTGATTTAGGTTAGCCTTGGGATGAGTAGGGTACTGCCACCTGGTGGCAGTCAATGGTATGACCAAGTAGTCCAGCTGATAAAGAGTCCTCGTTTAACTGTCTGTGATCACAAGTGAAGCTTCGGAGAGCAAATTTCTGTAATTTTTTATTTTCCGAGTTGGACTGATAATTTCCTGTGACTCCCTCAGCACAATATGACGCTGCAAGAACACGTCATTGTAATGCTGTGCTCTGTTGCCTTTGTCGTATTGTAAGATATATGCTCAAGGACATAGTAGAACTTTACTTGTGTAAGGTTCTACTATGTAATATAACTCAAACAAGTTATATTATTTGGAAAAAAGTTGTTCACAAAAGCTGAAATCTTTATTATTAATCACTGTCATTTGTAATTCACAAGGATTGAGAATTGTTCATACTGTATCTCACCTCCCATACTGTGGAGCCGGTCGGCCGAGCGGACAGCACACTGGACTTGTGATCCTGTGGTCATGGGTTCGATCCCAGGCGCCGGCGAGAAACAATTGGGCAGAGTTTCTTTCACCCTATGCCCCTGTTACCTAGCAGTAAAATAGGTACCTGGGTGTTAGTCAGCTGTCACGGGCTGCTTCCTGGGGGTGGAGGCCTGGTCGAGGACCGGGCCGCGGGGACACTAAAGCCCCGAAATCATCTCAAGATAACCAAGATAACCTCATACTTTGTTCTTATTTTATAGTAATGTATCTCTGTTTTGCAAGATAACTGGTAAGAGAATCAAAATTCTAACATGGAACTCTTTAACCATTACACTGCTCCAATCACCATATACAGTTTTTTTTTTTTTTGTTTACATTTCTCTTCTTAACTGTCTTTACAGATGCACTGTTTAGGAGTTGAGCCTCAAATCTAACAATTAAAACCAGAATTGACAAAACTATAAGCCTGGAAGAAATCTCACTGGTGGTCAATAAAAATGTATTCTGAACATAAGTCAGGTACTCTTTAAACTGTAAAACACATGGTTTGCATATTTATTTTTCCTTTTCATATAAAATCGAGCCAATATTAATGCTGTACAGTGCATAAAATCCCTAATTACACATCTATTTAATAAAGTTATCAATATAAAAGCTTGACTTTCAAAAGGCTCAGTATAGCCATCCTGATTAGCATTTTCTTTTTTATAACTACAGTACATTATAGAGTTATGTCATTAAGTGCTTTAAAATAACAATTAATTGCAGTTTATGAAACTGAAGTGTTTCCTTACTTTGATACATGTAACTACAGTACATCCCCTTCCTTACTTTGACTTTTCTCTCTTGGTGGTGGTCGTAGTGGCAGTGGAATGGCCAGGTGGTGTAAAATCGTCTTCAGGTATAAGTGGGACAGAGAGCTCCCTGAGGGCTGGGTCCTCGCCCGTTACCATCTGTGCACCAGTCACAGGAGGAAGTCGAGTGGGTTCAACATCAATGTGAGCGACTTGAGGTTGCCGCTCCTGTGTCTGTAGTGATATAAAAGAATCATTTGTCTTCTCACAAATTTAAATCTTATTTTTAATAGCTTCCTAAGTTTGGCTGTGACCACTAAGCCTAATCTAAATAGACCGGCTTTGAAAGAGTTTTACGTCCTTTTAATTTAAGTCTCAACTTTATCTGTATTACATTAAAATGGATGTAGCTAACCTCAGCGTGCCCATGCCCATGTTTGCTCTTTCGAAACCGGAAAGTCTTTCTAGACTGAGCCATTTGTCGTTGTAGTCTGGGTCTTACACCACTACGAACACTCTCCTGGCTTCCATTCGCCATGCCACCACCTTCGCCTGGGCTTGTAGGTGTTGATACACTACTATCCTCACCTGTAAAACATATTACAGTCATACATGTGCTAAGGAATGCTTCAATATATTTGATGTAAAATTGGTTAATATTTTTATCATAGGAAATAAGCTACAGTAGGTAAATATATGGCAAGTGTATATATTAAGAAAAATAAATATGTGAAAAATAATGGAGTAGCAAATATTAAAAGATCTCTGGCCTATGGCCTACTTTTTACTGTGCTTTCATGTGGAAGTTCACATTTATAAATTTTCATGAATGTGTTTATTATTGCTGCTAGTTATGCAAACAATAGAGTAAAAATTTGTACAAAAGCTCCTTTATAATTAATACTAACGGAGACTAGATTACATACAGCAGTACACTTTACTATAATGTACAGAAAATGTTCTATATTATCAACAAAAGCCAACGAATGATTCATTGTACAAGAATATTCTTACTACGCTTGAAACTTGTTCCAATCTACTCTAAGAATAGACTATGTAGGCCTAGTTTTCAACACAATTGTTTTTACTAACATGGAATTGTAGAGGGAATGCTTGCAAGATAAAGTCTAAGATTTTTGGAATGATGGACAGATTACCAGACTTGATACATTCTTGTAGCTATCACAGAATTAATATAGATTGATGTACTGTAATGTACAGAACATGCAACACCTTGTACTACAGTTTAATTAAGAGGCATACCATCATATCTAATGTTCCTCTTCATATGAACTGTTAATTCTACAACTGAAGAAGATTACAAATGACACTAGTTCCATAACTGACCCTAAGCTACATACTACCTTAAACTTCTTTTTAATTATTTAATCAGTACCATCTCATCTCTCAAGTACAATGATTCTGAATGACTAGCTGACAGAAGGTAAACTCAAATTCTATCTCTTGAACATGTACACAAGAATTGGATTGCAGTAATATGTGAGTGAGAAAAACACAAGTAACAAGAGAACGGAAGGGGACTGAATAACGAAGGGTAACACTGTTTATCCTACAAAGTCGAAGGTTTAGCCTTTAGAATTACTTCACCTTTTTGTTAAGTTAAAATTTATCTTTTTTAAATCACTCACATGATAGCCTACCGAATGAAATATTACAATAAACATGATATATTTGTTTCTTCTTGATTACAAACCCAAAAAGTGCATGAACATTTTTCAATACCGTATCCCAGTCTAAATCCTATTTGGAAAACAGCTGCCTTTCAAGGATGTTACACTCCAAAACATAGCATGGATGGGAAGAAATTAATTTTGTTCACAGAATGATAACCCCCAAGAAACAATCTAACTTAGTTTTTTATAGAAGACCATACTTAGTACTAAGAGCAACTATTATTTTTATGGCAGTAGAGAGGCAGACAAGCTGACCAGAAGGTTCTAGATGAGCAGGTGGGTGTAAACAGCTGGCAAAACTAACTGGCCACCAGCGTTCCTTCCTGCTTGCTAACTGGTTTTGTGCAATATCTTACTCCTCCACCTTACAATCCTTGCCTCCCACCTGAGTCTGTATTATTCCACAAATTAGTTTTTGTAAAATTTATCCATTATTAAAATAAACACAGTTGCTTATGCTTTTACCATTTTATTGCAATATTTATTAACAGAATTTACTAGAAAAATACTTAAATTGTCATTTAAGCAACTCTCACTGGCTTGCTGGTTGTTGAGTGAGTGTACCTGCCAGCCATCTAGCCCACCTGCCTGCTGGCTCATGTGTTACCAGTGTGTCACAACCGGCCCTTCCCTCCCTACACTTGCCTTCTCCGAGGCTTATGGATATTCACCCCTACCTACCTAGCTTTTTACCACTGGGTAAAAGGCAATGCAAACTTTTCCTGTAAAATGTCCTCCTGTATTAGTGTACAACATGTAGGAGTACTGTAATTACATTTAATGTTGTACTTTAAAATTTTAATATCCGTAGAACTGCCTACAAAAATAATGTGCATTATATATGCAGCTTTTTAGCTGCCAGTTACTGGCAGCCAAGACTGCCAGTAACTGGCAGTTACTTGTAACTGCTCAAGGCAGTTACTCAACTGCCTTGAGCTGTAAACACTGCATGCTGGCTATCAAAGGTCGTATTGGAATGCACCAGAGGTTGTAGCACTGCTTCATGTGCATTCTTAATATGATGTCTTAGTGTTATTTTTGGGGCTATATGGGTGCTATGGTGGATTTTTGTAAATTGCATTCTTCTACAGAGGAGTTAGGCTGAGATGTTATATCCTATCAGCTGACTTTCTCTCCGTTGCATACTTTTACATGCTTAATGCCACCAATCACTATACTGTACATACACTGCTCAGTAATGCTTAGTCTCACCTGAGAATCTTTTGCATATTCATGAGCAGCCATCCTGGCACTTGGTTTATTTAAATATTGTCTGTACCACTTGCACACAATCATTCCACTCTGCCTATCTGTAATCGAGTTTAGAATAATATGGTCCAGATTTTGGAAGTAATAAGCCATTGTAATAAGTTTGAATGAGTCCACTAAAAATATTGCACATAGTACTGACTAGTACTGTAAGTCTGTAAATCTAATCTATCATTAATTTAATATACTGTACATACGTATTCTCAATATTGAATTTTGAATTTCAATGACCAGGAGCCATCATCTGGCAGGAAATTATTAACTGCAGTACAGTGGAACCTCGGTTTACAAATGCCCCTCTTTACGAATTTTTCGGGTTACAAGCCCAATTTCTTTTGTAAAATTTGAATCCGTTTACGAGCTTTGCCTTGTGTTACGAGTTTGTTAATACACCTCCGACCACGCCTTAACTTAACAGTGCCTCCCACATAGTGATAATCGCCCTTGAATTCTTTGTAAAGAATTTCATTGTTTTTCTGCTTTTTTTTTTTGTTTTTGAACATAAAAGTAATTACTGTATTATATATCATGCCATGGGTCCCAAGAAAGTCCGTGGTAAGGTTCAATCTAAGAAAACAAATGTGAGGATGACGATAGAGGAAAAACAAGAGATCATTCATAGTGAGACAATGTGATATCTCGCTACAACCAAGTGTTAGAACGTAGGGAAAACAAGTGTCTTTAGACAGATTCTTAGTAAGACAAGCAAGCAGTGAGCCACAACCAGGCCCTAGTGGTTTGCCTGTAAAATGTAGGGGAGAGAGTACCCCAGAGAAGTCATCACTGACTGATGTTATAATGGAGAGGACTTCCCTTCCAAACACTAATGCCTCTCATCCCCCTTCCCCCCCCCCCCCTCTTCACCATCTTCCATATGCCAACAATAGTCATCAATGAAGGTAAGCTATAACTTGTACATACTATAGTACAAAATATTTGTGTGTATTATATATGATATGTATTTTGAAGTTTCTATTTTTGGGAGTGTGGAATGCATTAATTCAATTTACATTATTTCTTATGGAAAAATTTGATTTCGGGTTGTAAATTTTCGGGTTATGAGCCGTCTCTGGGAACAGATTAAATTCGTAAACCAAAGGTACCACTGTATGTACGATTTAAAAACAAACAAATGTTTTGTGTCTGATAAAAAGGAAAAATTTATTTAATTAATCATCAATTAGTTGTTGGGAATAAGTCTTGAACGTGTAGTTTATAACCTAAATTGCGAGCAGCAGTTAGTACTGTAGTTACTACTGTAAAAGAGGCTATGGAAATAACTCATTCAGCAACACTAGAGGGCATGACTTTTGTGTAAGGAAGGATAATCTCGCCTCTATGAATAAATCCTGCTTTCTAAATGATGCTGGCTAAAGTCTTTTAGTTGTTACTTACTCCATAGATGAGCACCATGTATTAAGCAACCTGAAACATGGGTTCAAGGGTAAGCAATGGTGACCTGAAGATCTATTTCCACCTGACTTGCTATATACTGTACATAAACCACTTAGAATTGAATCCAACCAGAAAGGTACAATAATTAAGTAATTTACCAAAATATAGAATTATCCAATATCTGATATACAGTATATAGGCACATGAAAACCCAATGCAGTATACTGCAAGTATCTAAAACCAAATCAATAATTAGTAGCAGCAGCAACAACATGGCCACTGATACATAGTCTCTGACAGTGTAAAACAAACAATGCTGTATGATAAAGACTTTGGCATATCTCACAAGTTAACACCATCTGCTAGACGATCCAGGTCACAAGTAGCCTACACCCATAATCCTGGTACAAAATGCTATTCCTGAATAATCCATAACACACTCAACATCACAGAAAAAACAGCTGTAAATAGATCTGTTTTGGGATATGTAACTTAAAGGCTAATAATTATACATAACTTTTATAAGACAGTACCCTGCTGAAGGATACCTCAATGCTGGTACCATAATTTGATACATGCAAGCTTTCCACACAAGAATAATATATTTTGAAATGCTCACACAGGTAATTTAAAAATAGAATTCATCTATCATCAATAGCACTGAAATGGTAATTTGTGTAACTGTTAAATAATTTAGTGTTTGTTCTAGAGTACAGTGCAATATTCATATGTATCTGATACACTTACCAGGGAGAACGGGAACACTGCTCGCCTGCAAGTTGGGTTTAGAGCCTCGCTTGCGGAGGAGGAAAGTCTTGCGGTAGAGACGAGGCTCAGAGGAGGTGGCGTGCGGGGAAGGCCGCAGAGAGCCTAGTGGGAAACACACGGGAGGGTGCCACACCCAGCCACGCCACACAAGCCCGGTCCGGGAACGGATAGAGGAGGGGCCCGGACCCGGCAGGTAAGAGAGGCAGCAGCAGCAGCAGAAGGTGGTTGATAGAGAGGGACATGGGACAGTCAAGGACACACATCAGTGACAAGCAAACAGTGTACAAAATTATGGATGGCTACAGTTTCTCTCATCACCACCACTTTATACTGCACTTACCTAACTAGCAATTATAATATTTCACAATCATATTCATTATTATTAAACAAAAAAGTTAATACATAATTTACTCTGTTCACGAAGAGAGCTCACATCTATAAACGTTCATGTTTCTGATTACAACAGCTTAAACCATCTCTTCACAACTATATTGTAATTACAGTATTATTATTACATTATGTATTATTATAATTATTATTATGTTATATATTAAATATTATAATTATGATTACATTATGTGTTATACAGTAATTATTATTATATTATGTATTATTATTAATATTAATACTGTACATTACCCTTTTCACTACCATCTAGTGTGTGTTTATGTCTTTTACTATAAACTTTATTTATTATCTCGGTACTGTGGGTGCGCACTGTAATTATAATAGCTTGTACCTTTTGTGTAGATTTCGTGCTAATAACATTACAGTACAGTATTTTTAATATTATTCTTTAGCAAATTTCTTTAATAAATCTTATTTTATATTTCATAATACTGTAATAAATTAACGTTTAAACATATTCAAATTTATGGTATACAGTACAGTACAGTACATATAATTGTACATGAGAGGACCAACATTGATATCTGTATTAATCAAGTAGCAAGTATTAAGCACAAGCTGCACCATTTACTGTATGTGATAAACAATCAAATTTATATACAGTCCTTGAAATGCATGAGTGTAATTGGTCAAAGACCAACATAACAGTTCATCATACATGGTTTCCTAGTGTCAGGAACAGAAAGCCTATTAGGCTTACTGAGGTTTCCGAGGCCAACTACAGACCTTCCCCAAGGTGCAAGTCACAACAGTTGCCTAATGCCTATTTACTGCTAGGTGAACAGATTCATCAAGTGTAAGGAAACATCGCCTAAAGTCTAGCCATGTGCATTTATCGAATGCGAGACCTCTTGCTTGTGAGCCAACAGCATTGTACACAGCTACATGAATACTGTAGAAGAATTTAACAGCTTTCAAAGTTGGGTGATGGAATATAGTGCTGAAATCCAATAGATAGTCAAGAAATTATGTTAACAATTCTGGAAAGTTTGTGAAAATAGCAAGAGTTAAAAATAGAGCAATGGGTTGTTTTCATCTGCCCCGACACTGCAGCTTATTTCTGGAGTTATAATACCTTGTGTGCAATGCTCATTTGGAGAAACATTTCATCAGTACCTTATAGCAATTTTAGTTATTGTTTTACATATTAGTATAATCATTATAATTGAAATACTTTCGTCTCTCTTTTTAATCAATCTGACCTTGATATTTGACTTTAAACAGTACTGTATTCACACAACAGCCTTATCTTGTGGCTTTGATGGACACTAGAAACCCATGGCTTGCACGAGATTAACTATCTGCAATCGACAATTATTGATAAGATCATAGAAAAATGACATCTGAATATCCTTCCTCGTGTCTCAAAAGTTAGAAAAATTAATTTAAGTGTGCATCTTGAAAATGTTGCAAATAAAGTGGTGTGTATATATTGTGGTATAGGAGGGGTTGAGCATCTCTGGTCACGTCACCACCACTGAGAAACACTGGTGTGACGGGTAATGACGATGTTTCGGTCCATCTAGGGCCATTATCAAGTCGTGTGTAGTAATGGCCTGAGAGTAACACACAACATGGCAAGTAATGGTCTGAGAGTAATGATATGCCATCCACAATACATCAACTAATATACACCAACTGTGGTACAGTGACCTTAGCAGTAATTATCAGTAAAATGTAGTGAGGGTAAAAACAGGTAGTGCACCACTCTGATAATACCACACACTTTAGAGGTTACTTCTCTGTATCCAGACCAACAAGGTACTGTAAAGCAGCACAGTACTCTACAGTCGCCACTGCACAACAGTCAAGGCACAAGCCACAGTACACCAGCTTGAGTACAGTAGTCTTATAACAAAGCCTAAATACATTCATTTGTGTTTAATTAGGATAAGAAGGGGGTCTAAATTACAACATGGACACTTTTGTTTAATTTTATAAACTGTATAATTTAAGAGTTCAGTTATTGGATTGATTTAAAGTAGGGTTATGTTTTAATACTTCTACCTAATACTGGACAGGAAATTGGACATGTATTTGAAAAGTGCCAATGCATTTGTAAACTATATTAGATCTAGTTCCTAAAATGCTTCTACTAACTGTAAGCTAAAGCAGAAGAAAAAATGAAGACTTATACCTTTTTACTTCACTGTAATCATTATTTACGAGAGCAGTCGGCACGTCAAATACTCTACCCTAGTAGAAGCTCATCAGGCACCATTAGTCAAGTTACCTACTTATCATGCCAGTCTATTCAGTTTAAATGTCTCTTAATTCCTATATTTTTGTTCACAAGTCAGCAATGCAGAGAAAAGCAGTCACAGCACCTGCAGTGTTTTTGTATGAAATCATTATTGTAATAAGGGTTTAATGGTACACAAGACACACCTTTACGACAATAGTGACATAAGGTAGCACAATCACAATGGACAATACCACTACATAATTACGGGAGATCAGCCTAGAGGACCACTTGTTATCCAAGAAGCAAAGAATGAATGTTAAAATGATTGACAAAGAATCACATGAGCATGAGGATATAAATTAAAGTACACAGAGCAACATGCAGAAATTCCTAAATATGATATCAACTGATAAAACTTGCCACAAACCTGGTGTCACTGCTCACTTGGAGGTGCAAGTCCCTTCTTTGTTGACACAGTATATCAGAAATGTAGTTTTTAGAATATTTAATGTACTAAATAAAATGATGCAGCTACCACTTCACATCAGAAAAGAGTATAGCATTTCAGTAATGTATGACTATATTCCAATGCAAGTACAGTAATATGAAACAAAATACACATAACTAATGTACCAAGGATATGTTCCACACAAACTTATCTAACTACTATATATTAACACATTAACATATATAATATATTTGATGTAATATGGAGTGTAGATATTACAGTGCAAATTATTGTTTTCTGTTTTAATGGTTACTCTCTTGGAATGAAACTCACCTCACAATAAATATTAACATAAAAACACCAACTAATAATAACAACAGTACACTATATTTAAGAGGTAGTTTCTCAATTTACACTTATTTTGTTGATTTTTTTTATCAAATATTTATAAAATCACATTATTTACAAATATTGACATATATTTTTCAGACTGTTTGTCCACAAATACAAGTGTTTAAGCAAATTATGTAACATCAACATGCTGCCTACAATTTTAAATTAAAAAAATGGATATATTACCATCTTTTAACATTTTACCTCCCTAAAATACCATCTGAAGCATATATCTATTAGTTACATAACAAAACTATAGCAACACGTATAACCATTTGCACGTCATTGATAAGTTTCATGACTGCAACTTAGCTTGCTAGCTACTTGACAAAAGTGCTATCTAACAAATGTATCAAACACTTTGTACAACAATACAATAGTTACACTCCTGTAATGACAAGGTTCATTGTAGGATGTGAAGAGAGCAACCTCTACAATACCTTTACTCAAAGGTTGCAACTCCTCAGCTAATGAGGTCCTTCTGAGTTTATCTGCATCTGGGAGCGGAGGAATCTGAGAGTCGTGGGAGGGTATGGGGGCAGGTCGTGGCTCGGAGCGCACAGACAGGTCTCGGTGGAGCGCCAATGAACATCCAGTACTGCTGCTTGACACAGAGCCTGCTCCTCACCACCAGGAGAAGGGCAGAGGTCAAAGAGGGTGAGGCAGGGGTGACAGCAGTAAGTCTGACCAAAGTCAGAATAGGTCGTAGTAGGTGGGAAGAAGGGTACAGTTTACTAACACGTCTCATGGTCATTCTGCTCCAAGGAGCATCTGCTGGGTTTTCCAAATTTACTATTTATAGAACTTTTAAGTTTTTTACAACAAGATTTGCTGACCAGACCACACACTAGAAGGTGAAGGGATGACGACGTTTCGATCCGTCCTGGACCATTCTCAAGTCGATTGTGAGAATGACAATCGACTTGAGAATGGTCCAGGACGGACCGAAACGTCATCGTCCCTTCACCTTCTAGTGTGTGGTCTGGTCAACATACTTTAGCCACGTTATTGTGACTCATCGCCTGAATAAGGTTTGCCTTTGCTTCATCAATTATTTAAATACTGTATTAGCTTATTTACAATTTTCATCCATATTATAAGACATAGTAACATTCCAAAGATGAATGACTTTGTTCCAGCAGTAAGAACCTAATGAGTGTAATTACCTAAGTGTAGTTACAGGATGAGAGGTACGCTCGTGGTGTCCCGTTTTTCCCAACACACTTTGTCATAACACTTTGAAATTCATGATGGTTTTGGCCTCCACCACCGTCTCGCCAGTGTGTCAAGGCAAATATATTGATGCTAAGTATGTGCTGGACATTACAGTATTATAATGCCTAAATAAAAACGTAGTGTATATAAGATATTTTCATCCAGGAAAGAAAACGGCAAGTGAATGTTTTCAAGAGTAACTATAATATTTTTTTTTTTTTTTTTTTTTTTTTTTTTTTTTTTTTTTAGATATATACAAGAGTTGTTACATTCTTGTACAGATTATTTTGTAAAGATTAGAAGCACCACTCCTGAAAGATACAATGGACTAACTTAATTCTACACTAGAAGTAATTTAGAAATCTTTGTGGTAAATTTTAGTCTGGAGGTAATTATTATAAGGTGTTAATTAAAATGTAAAGGTCACGTTTCTCATCTATTAAAGTACTGTACAGATTTTCAAGAAATTTTAAACTGTACGTAGAACTCAAATACATTTCAACATTGCAAAAACAGGTGCAATTTTGAAGTGATTTAAAGATAATTTCAAAGCAAACCTAAAGGCCAACATTATTAACATGAGACTGGGAATCTTAGCTTAAAACAGCTAAAAAAAATCCCCAGATACTGTAATTATGAAGGTTTAATACTCTACAACAGAGTATAATGATAATCTTTAAATGCCCCATCAACAAAGGCGAGCACACTTCCTTAAAGTGATCACTGTCACAAAACCAGAATTTTTGTCCATGTGCTCAATTTGCAGCAGAGTGCATGTTTAAGATACTGTTAAGCGGCAGCACCATAGCAATTAGCTGTGGGGATTACTTTATTTATCCATTTTAAGATAAACTAGTTTTTCTTTCAGTCATGCTCCACTTCAATAAATCTTAACATTCTTTCCACAGAAGGACATATTACTGTAATTACAAAATTCAAGATATCCATATTCTTTTCCTACTGTTTATAAAGAAGTAAATATGATCACCAAGATAGTGTATATCTATCTTGGATTGGGGGATGGAAAATATAGATAGCAAAAATAAAACTATAGATTTAGCTTATGCTAATGTTATTATTAGTAGGAAAACTAATACTGTACAAATAAAACTAAAGATGGGGTTAGCAAATTGTAACTAAACCATGCTAAGCGATGACAAAATCTTCTATATTATCAATTTCATAGTTCCTGTACCACAATGCAACACCTTGGTCTTGATAGCTGAACTAACAATATCTATTATCTACCATGGCTTAAAGCACAGAAGGAGCACAATCATTTAAAAGATACAAGGAAATCTATGCTATGCATAAGCTTAACCTAATCATTCTCACCACTTCTCTTAGTTAGGTGAGCAGGTGGTAGAGGCCAAAACCGTCAGTACTTTCAAAGCGTTATATGACAAAGAGTGCTGGGAAGACAGGACACTACAAGCGTAGCTCTCCTCCTGTAACTACACTTAAGGTAATAACACACATGAGACACCACAAGCGTAGCTCTCATCCTATAACTACAATTAGATATTTACACACATTCACAAAGTGAAACTAAAGAAAGCCCCTGAACTGAGAGGTCTAAGCCATACATAAAACCAGAGGAAGCTAGCTGGAAAAAAACAAAAAGGGACAGAGGCAACATTATTACAATATTAAATATTGTTGAGGCATTGACAAAGTAGATAAAAAGTATATGTTTAATTTGAATTCAGGGAAAGACGAGGACACATGGTGGAAACTAGAAATTGTGTAAGAGTACAGTAGTAGAATGAGCTAAAAGGGAAGGTAGTTGAAGCTAACTTTATACATAGCTTGATTAGTAGATATGACAAGTAAGAGGGTCAGAAGTCAGTGCAGTAGGTGTCTAGCGACTGAAAGATAGGGGCTGGGAGCTGGTGCTAACCCAGCAAGCACATATACACCCACATATAAGCACTCATTACACAGATAATACGTCACAAGAACGTAGCTGAAAATTAGACACCCAGCAGACAAATCTGAAAATAAAGGTATTGATGACCTTTTGGCCCATCATGGACCATTATCACTCTTTAAGACAACTTAAAACATCAATTAAAGTGAGGGCTTTGTGAGGATGTTTCGCTCAGGATAGCTTTCTCTGATATAATACAATGAAGACAAAATTATCTGTAATAAAATATAAACTAAAGAGAAGTGTTATTTTTCACTACCAGTGAGCAATTACACACATACAGATACTGCACATTACTGACACCTGTTATCTAACTTGTTGCTATAGTCTTAATACTGGATGCTGTGAAATATTTAGGATGTGTCCTTTATTATAATAGTACTGTATCATACAGTACCGTACATCATAAAATGATCGATGTGAAGAGAACATAGCCAGTATGAGGAGCAGACATCCTCATTCACAGGAAGCTGTGTAATACATAGTGAGTGGCAGCCTAAATCCACAAAGACATCTTACAAAGATTCCTTACCTCTGACGGAAATCATTAATCCAAATCAAGAAGCATATCATGTAAGTCCTGAATCTAGTACAGGACTTTTTATCTTATGACAGGTTATCTTATATCATGAGGAAGTAACCTAACTTAAATAACCAGCTATTCAGTAGAGTGTATTTACCAATTCCTGGAAAATTATATTTAATTGCAAGTTGAGATAGTATTTAGTTATTATAAGAGGGTTTATATGAAATAATGACATGACATTGCATTTTATAGGACCACAAGTCTTGTACATCCAATACTCCATACACCCACATTCACACTCACTCACTCTCTCTCCTAAATCAGAGTGGTTCACTGCTTTACAAATGGGTGGACAATAATGTGTACACTTTAAACTGAGTTACCTCATGCCAGTGGACATATTTGGTCGCTTTAACGTCAATTATCATCAGTGGACGATGTCGGACCAACATTAAAGCAAACAAAATTGCCTGCTGGCCTGTTTTACATACAGACCTCAACATGTAGAAACAAGGAGCCTAAAGCACAAAAAATCATGACTCTTGTACAAAAGAATATTATAATTTTGATATACAGTTACATAGCCTTTTCATCTCTGAAATGCAGTAGGCCTACCTCTTGACATTCTACACATTAAGGAAAGATGAAAGGCTGGGTTAGAAGGCAGCTTGATTTATTGAATAAACAACTGCAAAAATGCAGGCAGTTTAGTTTAAGGGTGTACAACTTAATTATTTTAGGATGTGTGCAGCTACTTTAAGATAACAGATAACTTTATCGTTTAAAGAGAAAGATGTAAATTATTTGTTGAGGAATTTTGTTCATATCATACACTTTTAGATGACAAAATAATAATATGGTAGAACCTCATCTTATTGACTTGACAACTCCTAAAGTTGCCAACTTGATTAAGGGTGCATATAATAAGCTTATAGGGGAAAAGCAAATTACTTATGGAATGTGCAATGCATAATTTGCATTGCGAGATGACCTAATGTTTACCTGAACATGTGGTCAACTTAGGTGTTGGGGTTGGCATCTCATTTGAGGGGTGGTCAGATGAGCTTACTTGTTTGCAGATTAGTTGAAAGGTCAGCTTGTTAACTTGCTGTTTAGTGCTTGATGGATCAGGTTGTATACTTGTTAATATATGTAACCTGGGTGATTGAGTTTACTCGGCAAGTTGGTCGGCTTCACTGCCAAGCTGGCTTGTTAATTGGATGGGTAGGAAGCTTACATGATAGGGTGGGTAGCTTAATTGATAAGGTAGCATACTTGATGGGGTGTGTAGCATACTTGAGGGAGTGAACAGCTTTCTTGAGGGGGGTGGGTAGCTTACTTGAAGGAGGGGCATGGGTAGACAGCTTTCTTGAGTGGGGTAGGCAGCTTACTTGATGGGGTTGATAGCTTACTTGAAGGGAATAGGTAGCTTACTTGATTAGGCAGCTTATTTGATGGGGGGGAGATTGCTTACTTGAGGGGGGGGGGTGGACAGCTTCCTTGATGAAGAGGGCAGATTGAATGGGTGGGGTAGGTAACTTGAAGAGATGGGCAGCTTACTCAAGGATATGGGCAGTTTATTTGATGGGATAAGCAGTTTTATCGAGAGGGTGGGAAGCATACTTGATAGGGTGGGCAGCTTATTTGAGGAGGTGGGGAAGCTTACTTGGTTGAATAAGCAGTATGCTTGTGAGGGTGGGATGCATACTTGATAGGGTGGGGCAACTTATTTGAGGGGATGGACAGCTTTCTTGATCAGATAAGCAGCTTGCTTGGGTGGGTGGTAAGCTTACTTGAGGGGAAAGAGCAGCCTGAGAGGGCAGGCAGTTTAGTGAAAGTGTAATTCTTACTTGAATGGGTGGGCAGCTTCTCTCAAGAGATGAGCAACTTACTTGGTGAGGTGGGCAGCTTACTTGAGATGATGGACAGCTTACTTTAGGGGGTGA